ATTATATGTATTTATGGGAGAGTCTTGGGAATCAAACAGCTATATTCTCCCAATTCCATTCCTTAAATACCTAGGCTTGCTGATGAATCTCTGACTGGTTCGAAAGTCAAACATTGTAACTAACAAGTTAAAATCAATCAGAAAACATGGAAAAACAGTTTTTTTTATTTTGTTTTCCTCTATAGTTTTGTGTACTGCTGTAGCAGTTTCCAGAACTTTCCCAATGTTTTAAATAAATGTTAATTTAGTTTTAAAACAGGTCATGTGATGCAGCCACCTTTCTTCAGTTCAACAGTGGTTGATGCAAAAATGCTGAATATACAACAAATCCGCCTGCAACAAAAGGAGTCTCCATTCCTCAACTGCAGGCATGCAAGAGAAGGGAGGTTACTGATTGATGGGGGGTGGGGCAGAACTGGTGATGCTGTTTAAGTCCTTTGGACCATTGCCAGAATTTTATATGTATGTGCCAGAATCTTTTAAGTAAAATCTGATTGTTTTTTCCAGGAGCAATTCCACTTAGTGAGCTTGCTTGAACTGTAACCCTTACATATTTATGTGTAATAAGGAACCCCTTCTTGTGTTCATCCTACAGTTTACTGCTGAGAAATAAGACATCCAGTTTCATACCAAAGATCACTACCTGAGCACTTCTCTGCCTGATGTACATATATTTTGTTGAGTCAAAGTTTGCTCTACACAAGTTTCTGAAGCAGGGTGCATTATGAAAGGACCACAAATGTTTTTTAACTGGTGTGGACTGGTGTGGTTAGAGGGTTGGACTGGGGACCAGGGAGATCTGGGTTCTAGTCTCCACTTGATCATGAATCTCATTGGGTGTGTTTGGGCTAGTCACTGATACTAACTTTCCACTTAGAGTGAGTTGCTGTTGTAAGGAGAAAATGGAGTTATGTGAGCTGTCTTGGGTTCCTCACAAGAGGAAAAAAGGTGGAATACAAATGCAATATAATAATACAAACTTACAGCACAATCCTGTTGACATTGGACTGTCTCTAGAAGGCCATAGAATTTCTTGGAGACTGAGCTATTGGGTTATGAAATCATGCTGATATCATAGCTGGGTCTCCATACTTGGAGCATCTCCTGCCACCTTGCAACTGGTATGGGGAAAAAAGGGACACTGGTTACACTTCTAAGGTTGCAAGAGCAACCATAGAGATGGACTATAGTGGGTGGGGGGAGCCAAGTGCTGCCATGATGCAAAGTATCCAGGTGTGTTCTAAGGCATACCACTTAGGTCATGGGTCCTCAAACGAAGGCCCATGGGCTGGATCCAGCCCGCCATGCCCATTTAACTGGCCCACCCCAGAGGTTTTGCACTTGCTGTGTGCGTGGCCTGTTTGCGAGGAGGTCATTTTGGACTCGCTTGGAGAAAACCTCCTCATGAGCAAGCCAGTGCCTCGCCGAGCACGCACCCAGCATTGGCTTGCGAGCATGCCCCCCTGCCCCCTCACCGGCCTGCCCCCCCTGCCAGCCCCACCCTGGTGGCCCGCACCCACTGCTGGCACCTGTCAACTGGCTCCCAGTTGTAAAAGTTTGAGGACCACTGACTTAGGTGGACAAAATCACCCACCTAAATTTGCAATGCAAAGGGAACACAGTGGCAACTTTCTCCTTCTCACTTCTTCTACCATGCATAGAATGCCCATAATCCTTCAAATTCAAAGGGTTACAGGAATTTGGACTGGAGTACAAAAATTCAGCAACATTTTACTATTCTGATAGGAGGATATAAGAGGAACAGAATGGAAACTGTCCTGGCATGCATTTCTCTGCCCAGATGTTTCTATTAATGTTCTAGAGACAATACCTATCGTACACACATACACACAGTGTCTGGAGATGTGTAGAAGGTGGCTGAAACCTAAAAATTCCCATGCACGGACAGAGGTGGAGAACAGGTTTTGGTCCAAGGGCTGAATTTGCCAAGGGGTGGGATGCCAAGGGCTGCATGCCCACATTCTCTCTCTTGTACATGTGTACACGCAAACAAGCGCAATTCCCAGTCTTTGTACCAGAAGGAGAGAAATGTCTCAGTTTTCTTTCAGGGCTGAGCAAGGGAAAGCTCTTTTCTCTGTCCGGCAGCTCATCTTAGTTAAGGTTTTTCCCTGCCTAAGGAAAGTGGACTGTGCCTTACAGAAGAAGCTGATGGGTTATATTTGGTGCCTGTAACAGAAACAAAACAAAACAGTAACAAAAATCCCCAAAGGAAGAACAGGGACAAAAGAAAAAGAATAGCATTTTCCCTGGTGCAGTTACCAGAAAATCAGAACTGTCCCTAGTGAATCAGGGCAGCTGGAACTTAAGTAGTCAAATGAGAAAACAAAAAATCTTTTGCTGGTAGCTTTCAGTTAAGAAGTCAGGCAGCTTCTGCCATAACACCAACCATTCTAGAATTTGTGAAAGTCAGCTCTATAGAGAAGTAAAAAGTAACGGCATCATCCTATCAACATCGCAATATATTCAGAGGGATTTCTTGTAAATGTGCACAATATTCCCACCAAAAGGTTTTGAGATAGTCTCAGCTTTATAGCTGAATATAGGGTGGAACCTGAGCCAGTATTTCCTTTTTTTCTCAGAAGTAAATCCCTGTGTTGGCTTACTCTTGAGTTACTATAGAGAGCAAGCTTTATTCTTCTTCCCCATGATAACTTTAACACACACACACACACACACACACACACACACACAGAGTAAGAAGTAGATGTTGCAGTGCCTATAGGCAAAATGTACCTTTCTTAACTTTCTTAATACATATTGAGATATTTCATCCCTATCATGTAGAACTCCCCTACAACATTTTTACTGGCAGCTGGGATCTCTTCAGAACAAAAGGAGGGCCTCCAAACACTATCATCATCATTTCTCACGAATGCTTGTGGAGCATGTATGAGATGCAGAAACATTCTTAGAAAATGGCAGATATCTGCAGGCTGATACTTACTCCTACAATGTATCCATCCACCAAGGAAAAGAACAGCAAAGAAAACGGCACATTCTGCTCACTTCTGTTTTGGTAAGCTTGAGTAGAGGGCTAAAGGAAGCAGGGTACAGTCAACTGGGAAGGTGGAGGATCTTGTGTCAAAGTAACAGGAAGCCAGTGAGGGCTGGTGAAGGCAGTTGGAAGCACCCTAGGAGGTTGCGAAGGGTTGTGTGCTGGAAGATCTGAATGGATGCCAGTTGTATATGTGTGAGAAAGACTTTGGAAGGATTCTGAAAGAGAGTGTTAATTTTTATCTGCTTGCAATGAGGAGAATGGAGGAGTATGTATGTATACAGGAATGATGAACACACAGGGTGCTTGTGTGATCAGATGGAGGATGGCTGGCTAGAAGTGCATGTGTCTGAGTCAAAGTGTTTATGGGTGATGAGCTGAGGTGGGAGAAAAAAGAGGGACGAGCTAGCTTGTAAGGAACTAGAATATAGCTTCTGAGAAACAGGTTTCTGGTGGGACTGAAACCTGTAGATTCTAAGGCATTTATTGAACAACCCTATGTTTGTGTGGAATAGCGGTTAGAATAATTGCCTAGGGCCTGGGAAATTTGGCTTCTGGTCCCTGCTCTACCATGATGTTCACTGAGTAACTCTGGGCCAGTCACTGACTCTAAACTTTAACTACCTCTGCTGCTGTTAGGATAAATGGAGAGGAAGAGAATAACATACAGGCATTTATTTTATATTGCGATTTATATCCTGCCTTTTTCCTGCAAAGGGCTCAAGGCAGCTTACATCATCTCTCCTCCTCCATCTTATCCCCACAACAACAACCCTGTGAGGTAGGTTGGGCTGAGAGTCTGTGACTGGCCCAAAGTCACCCAGTTGGCTCCATGGCCAAGCGGGGACTCGAACCCAGATCGCCTGAGTCCCAGTCCCATGCTCTTAACCAGTACACAAAGCAGTAACAGAAAAATGTCCTGTAATTCGCAGCACACTCCAGCACCTAGCCTTTTCTGCCTAAACATGCATAGGATCGTGGCCTTTCTGTGCTTGGCCTGATCCCCCACATCTGCCTTAGACTGAAGTCTATGGAGCAGCTAGTTTGTCCTTTGTGGCCAGTCACACCACGGAGGGCAGCTTTAGGAAATTACCCGATGTGTCCAAAGGGCCAAAAAAGTTGCCTACACCTGCGTACTGCCCCATTCTTCTCTAGACGCTCCGAAGGACTGTCGCATCCTTAAAGCACCCATCCCGTTTCGCTTAGAATTCCACCTTTCCTTCACTGCTTGTCCAAACAAAGTAAACATTTGGACAACAGCGCTTCTAAGAAAATAGGGCAAACTTTTGAAAGCCGTTATTTTATTATTTTAAGCTTGGCAAGGTCGCTGGTGCATCAGGAGTCCGTCGCGCAGCAACTCCAGGCGCCAGCGCCACTCCAACAGCGCCTCGCCGACGGCGACAGAGGTCGCCTGTTCTGGAGAAACCCTCGGGGAGTGAGCGAGCGGCTCGGGGCGTGCCGTTCACCGAAAGGGCGGCCTTATCGCGGGAAAGCGACATGCACACGGCCCTTCACAGATGAAGGCGGCCAGCGAGGCAATGCCCTTCTACGAAAGCGGCGAATTTTGCGCTTGCCTCTCATCTCGAGGATGGGTTTCCACCGTACCTTTTCGCTACCCTGTTTGCAAAGGACGAGGAACATCCGGGAACCGCGGCTAGGAAGGGGCGGGGGAGGAAGAATGAGCAAGCCCCCGGCCACGAGAGAGGGGCGGGAGAGGCGAAGGATCCCCGCGGCGCGTGCAGTGTTGTTTCCGGGCTTCTGCGCCGTATCTAAGATACTGAGAGGGAGGCAGGGCTAGTTCAAACCATTTACACGAAAAGGGGGGGATAGGGCGTGGGTATTTTGTTTCCCGGGGACTTAGAGAAGTCTAGAGAAATCCATTACTGCGAGGCAAAGTGGGACACCAGAGCTTGATCCGAACCCCGCATTTCCGACAAAGACCAAGGGGAGAAGACCCCCTTGCTATTATCTGGGGACACCACCACCCCCTCAGTGCTTGGAAGACGTGGAGCAGGCTGCGCAGGGCGGGACGTTCGCTTCGGCGGATGGGGGAGGTGAATGGTAGTCTCACCCCCTTTCCCGTTTTTCCTCTGAATTTGACTTACTCCTTCACTGAGAGCAGGTATTCGTCTTGTTTCCCTCGAAATGCTGTGGGCGGGGATGCAAACTCTCAGAGGCGGCGACGTCCCGTACGAATGAGGGCTCTTTCGCGCGCCTCCCGCCCTTCTCCGAGGGAGTCCGCGCGAGGTTTCTGCTTGCCTTCCACTGACACCCCTTTATTATTATTATTATTATTATTATTATTATTATTATTATTATTATTATTATTATTATTATAACATTTCTATGCCGCCCCTTGCCGAAACCTCGGGGCGGCTTACAACACGATAAAATACATTGAAATACAATAGCACATAATAAATTACCATTAAATACAAAAAATACATTGATTTACAAATATAAGATTAAAATTATCAGTATAATTAGGGAAGATTATAGGGAAGATACTTGGCTGGGAGCGGCAGGTGGGGCGGCAACCTCAGACGGAGTTGCCCAGAACCGAACCGTTACACAGTTACAAAGTTCTCTTCATGCTTCAATGTATCGGTTTTCCTGGCCGCTTTCTTCATTTTCCATGCCCATATATAATGCTCAGGAATAAAATATCATGGGTGACTTTAGCCTTGGTCTCCTGTGAAACATCCCTACACTTGATTATCTTTTTTCGTTCCTTCATTGCTGCCCTTCACAGTCTCAGTATTCTTTGGATTTTTTGGTTACAGTCGCCATTTGAATTGATGACTGAGCCACGGTTTGCAAAATTATTCACAATTTCATCATTGTTGACCTTAAAGTTGTGAGTTCTGTAGTCATGATTTTTGTTTTCTTAATCTTCAACTTTCATTAAGAGTTGTTTCAATTCATTGCTGCTTTCTGCTTGTAATATATTATTTGTATATCTTTTAAGTATCGATGTATCTTCCACCGATTTTCACTCTAATCCACTTTTTGTGATATATTCTATATACAGATTGAATAGATAGGGAGATAAAAGCACACCCTTGTTTTATACCTTTGCTCATAGGAAATAACAGGTTTACTCCATTTCCTATTCTAACAGTAGTTTCTTGTTCACGATAAAGAGTTATCAAGTGCTGAGGCACACCTATTTCGTTCAGACTCATTCATAGCTTTTTCATGATCCAAAGGCTTTGCTGTGTCAAGACCAGAGGCAGCTTCAGGGCTCCCTCCGCTGGTCGAGGGTCAGCACTGCAGCTCTGGTGGTTACAGGATTACTACCTGGATCTGCTGCCCCTGCCAGGGCTCTCATGAGCTCCACCTGGGAGCCCTGGGAGAAGAGTTATGTAAGAACTGACTCCTTCCCTCAGATGGTTCCTTGGCAACAAAAGTTTCCTGAAATGCTCAAATGCTCCTGGTTTGTGGATTCTTGGACTTTACTCCTGGAACGCTGTCCAGGACCCTGCACCTGCTCCCAGATCCTGTCTGTTTTCCTGGCCTTGCTTGCTCCTCCTCCTGTCCCAGCCCTCAAGGCCCCTTGCCTTGCCTTCTTGGTTCCCTGACTGCTGACTTGTCTGCCTCCCAGCTCTGACCTTTGGATTGTTCAACTGTGCATTTGTACTGACCCCTGTGTCCCACCCCAGTTGCCTGGTTGCTGGTGCTTTTGTCTGTCAGTCAGCTGACCATGCCTTGGATGCTGACATGCTGTAGCCTATAAAACATTGACTGATTTTCTGAAATCCTTTGGTGTGCTCCAGTATGCAATGTATATTTGTGATATGATGTTCAGTGCATCTTCCTTTTCCAAATCCAGCTTGAACTTCAAACATTTCTTGGGTTAATATTTTTGTTGCAAAACCTTGCGCATCACTGTTTATACAGGAAAGTAATAGTCCTTTAGTTTCTGGTCTTTAGCATCTTTTTTGGGAATTGAAATGTAAACTGAACATTTCCAGTTTATAGGTCATTGTTTTGATTTCCGTACTTGCTACATATTCTTCTTAGAATTTGGTCTGATTCAGGAGCTACAGCTTGATGTCATTCTATTGGTACTCTATCTACTTGGAGTGTTTTATTCCTTCCAAGTGCTTTCAGAGCAGCTTTCACTTCACTTTCTAATACTGCAAGTGGTTCTTCAAGGAATTTTTGCTCTCTCCTATATAGTTCTTCTGTATATTATCTTTTTCTCTTTATTTTATCCTAGTCAAATAGTATGTTCACCTGTTTGTCTTTCAGCATTCCTAATCTAGGTTTGAGTTTTCCTTGGATTTCTTTGATCTTCTGAAAGTGTTCTCTTGTTTTTCCTCTTTTGTTGTTTTTTTCTATTTCTTAGTAATGTAAATCTCTTTATGTGGATTTTAAATTCTTTAGGAATATTATTGCAGTTATATTTTGGAACTGTGCTTCTGTCAGTGATATTTGTCAGCTTAAATATGATTTTTGATATTAAAAGTTTGTGATCACTACCACCCTCTTCTCCTGGTCTTGTTTTGGCAGCAAGAATACTAGTTCTCCATGTTAGACTTCCAGTTAAGTAGTCTGTTTGATTTTTGTATTAGCCATCTGATGATATCCATGTATATAGTTATCTGATAAGTTGCCTAAAGTATGTATTTGCAATAAACAAATTGTTGGTTTCACAAAATTCTATGAGTTTTCACAAATTCACAACATTCTCTTGCTTCTTAGCTAAATTATTGTAGGCTAAAATCTCCCACAACATTTGTTTCTGCTTTGTTTCCTACATTTGCCTTTGAATCACCAATAATTATCAGCATGTCTTGCTTTTGCATGTTATCAAATTCTTCTTGGATGCTTGCATAAAAGTTTTCAATTTCTTCTTCAGTGTATGTCACCAGAGTGGAGATCTGAATAATGGTTATGCTGATATAAGAATTCAGATCAATATGATTTAGTCAGACTTTGCATTAAAGCTTCTTGGTGCCTGGGCTACATCTTGCCTTAGCATTAGAGCCACTCCATTTTTTCTGAGTTTGTAAAACTGAGTGAAACATTTTTTTTGTCAGACTGAGACTGTCCCATTTCAGTCCAGTTTAGTTTTCTCACACCAAGTACTGTGATGTATCCATTTGCTGCTTTACAGTTTCCAGTTTTTCTTGATTCATACTTCTCAAGAAAACAAGCTTGCTTTCTGATCTCAAATATGCATCTAAATACATACTTTCTGTAAATGTTTTAGCATAGGGGTAAGTAAAATGGTGTCATCTAGATGCTTTGGACTATAGCTCCCATCAGCCCCATCCTTCATGTCATGCTGAATTTCATTTTATTTATTAGATTTATATGTTGCCCAACAGCCAAAACTCTCTAGGCAGTTTACAATAATACAATATTGTACATAATATAAAAACAACTGATATACAACCATATAAAGAGACTATATACCCAAATCACTAGCAACTTTAACTATCAACTACAAGAAATTCTGGGACCAATTAGAAACTGTATTACATGCTGCCAAATGCATGAGAATGGAGGAAGGCCTTAATGGGGAACTGAAAAGATAACAGTGTTGGTGCCAGGCGGACCCCACTGGGAAAATTAATCCATAATCAGGGCTACCATTGAGAAGTCCCTCTCCCTTGTTCCCACCTTTCTGGCTTCTCTTGAAGGAGGTACCTGGAAGAGGACCATAGACAGTGAATGTAGTACAAGGGTAGATCATTATATGAAAAATGGCCAACTCTTAATGTATTTAACTAGACTTGCTTTTTTTTCTTTTATAGGTGACTTTTTATGAAATAAGTGGTGGCTTGATATTGATGTATGCAATACAGCTTTCATAATGGAAAACTTTATTTTGTATGAAGAGATTGGAAGAGGGAGCAATACAGTCGTTTATAAAGGCAGACGGAAAGGAACAATAAATTTTGTGGCTATTTTATGCACTGATAAATGCAAAAGAGCTGAAATGACGAACTGGGTAAGAGTTACCTTTTATTCTGGAAAGCAATGTACATTTGCAAGTTATGCTGGAATATATTTTCAGATGGAAATGTATGTTTCAAGAAGGTTTACCCAGTTACTGAGTTGATTTGTGATTTTTTTCCTCCTTGTATCCACTTTACCCTGTTCAGTTTTTGCTTAAGAAGTATAACTTACTAAATTAGCAGAAGTTCAGTTTATATTGAAATAAATGGGAAACTGCAACTGCTAAATGCTTGAGTTGGTTGGGGTCCTCAGCAGCTTCCCAAAATTTAGCAAAGAAAACAAATGCATGTTGTCTGTATATACATTCATTTCTTTTGGGTGGTTATGTCATTTGAAGAGCACTGAAATAGACTTTTTTATTTTTTCTGTACATGTCCAAGTATATGTAAAAAAACAAATTTCAGTGAATTGCACCAGACCTATAAACAGTCATCCTACTTTGCCATTAGAAGAGCTGCTTCCTTTCTTGGATTAGAATGGTCTTTACTTGCCCAGCTGTTAATATGTTCCTTAATTCAATCTTTGCAAAAAGGACTACATTTGTATCTGTTGCCATCCCTTCCTGTCTCTGTTTTGCAGGTATGGGAGGAAATGTAATATTTATTTTGGCATGGCACCTACAATTCCTAAGAGTGGATTCAAACTAGCATAACCCCCATTGATTTCACTGGGTTTTCTGTGAGACTAAGTTCACACGCAAAGGTGGCAAATTGTCAGTTAAATAATCCATGATTTGCTACAGAGTATGTTGGGCATGTTCCATAGCTATTTTGAATATTCAATCCCTGATCAGAAATTGGTTTGTGATATCTGAATCAAGACACTATAGGTTAATTATGGGTGCTCTGTATTTAATCACCAGTTAGGTGTTAGGTTAGCTGTAGGTTGTTTAGCTCACAATTAACCTAGAGTGATTGGGTTTGGATGACCCGGGTACAAATCCAATGTTTGTTCCTGGATTTAGTTATCTGTACTTTTCTATGGGACTGCAAGTGGCACAGTGGTTTAAACCGCTGTGCTGGTTGATCGAAAGGTCGCCAGTTCAAATCTGCACAACGGAGTGAGTTCCTGTTGCTCCGTCCCAGCTCCTGCCAACCTTGCAGTTCGAAAGCATGCAAATGCAAGTAGATAAAAAGCTACCACTGCGGTGGGCAGGTAACAGCGTTCCGTGCACTTCGGTGTTTAATCATGCCGGCCACATGACCACGGAGACTGTCTGCGGACAAACGCTGGCTCCCTCTGCTAGGAAACAGAGATGAGCACCACCCCCTAGAGTCAGGCATGACTGGACGTAACGTCAAGGGGAAACGTTTACCTTTACCTTTTTACTATTACTATACCTCTAACTATTAAGATAATTCTTAAGTAGGTTTCATATAAATATTAAAATCTCAAATACAATTTAAAAAGTAATACAATTACAACTATAGTAGGACTAATAATAAGGAGCAGTTCCATAGAACAAAATAATTAATGTACTTATGGGCAAGGGAAAGTCTGGATGTACAGATGTGTTTTTGGAACATGCCAAATGTTCTGCCTCTCAGGCTATGTGAGGGAGTTTTTTCCACAGGGCAGATGGTGCTACTGAGAAGGACTTCATCAAGGGAATACATGGCAACATTCTGATAATGTGGGCATGTCCAGCAATGCCTCCTCCAGTGATCTTAGTGGTTGATTGTTATATATAAAGGAAAGCAGCCTGCTAGGTATCATGGCCCTAATCTGTTTAGGGCTTTGTACGACAATCTCATAACCTTGAATATGGCTTGGTTGCTAAATAGGTAGCAAATGCAGTTCTTTTATCATAGGTCTTCCATGAGCATCACTGGATGTCCCAGTTAGCACTCTTGTTGCTGCCTTCTACAGCAACTGCAACTTCTGAACCAGGCCCAAGGCAGCCTGACATAGTGCACATTGATTGCACTTGTCTGCTTGTCAGGTTACGTGTGCCCTGGATCACTGTGGCTGGAGTATCCTTAACCAGGAACAGGAGTAGTTGACATCCCAACTGAGGATGGTGGTGGGTCCAGATCCACAGGGTCACTTGGGCCGCCTGTATCAGAGGTGGAATGGATAGTCAGTTCCATTCCAGAACCTCTGCAGCCTGAGGTGCTGTACACTTGAGTGTGGGTTAAACAGCCTCCAATGTACACTAAAATAGGTTATGGGTTCTGTGAGCATTGTCATGTTGTGTGAACAGCCCAAGTAGCTGTATTCAGACATCGCATAGGAACTCCTGATTGAAGCAATCAGTGTTTGAATATTCAAAGAAGGCAGCGTGCCTGGCAAATTGAAGGTTAATTAACCCAAGTTTTGCTGCTGTTACACACGAACAGTTCCTAAGAATGCCACAGGCCAGGTTCATGCAACATGGCAGACAAACCTGTCCTTTTTTAATAGAATATGCTGTTTCCATAGTGCACAGATCTTTGCCCAAACCTACCAGTATGGTTACCCAGGCACTGTGTGGTAAGACTTTGTTCCATGACAACAATGGCAAAGTGAACATCCTGAGTCTGGAGGACTGGTTAAACTGCGGTAAAATGTGGAAGCTTTAGAACAGACTGTTGATTCTCTCCCTATTTTCAGAAAAATAATGCTATTATGCAGGAACTCTGAACTGGGTCTGGATGACACAGCAGACCCACAATGGTAAATGTCACCATGGCTTTTTGGAAGCTAGCCTATGTCTTCATGAAAGCTATGCACTCTGACAATTGTTGTTTATCTGCTTGACCCACTGAGAGCCCAAACTATCTCATTTTGTGCTATAGGTGCGGCTCACTCATGCAATCAAGCACAAGAACATAGTAGTGTTTCATGAATGGTATGAAACAAGTAACCATCTCTGGCTTGTGGTGGAATTATGCACAGGTAAGAGGATGCTAAGTCAATGTTGAGTGACATCTTTGGATAGCTTTTGGATTAACTGCTTTTAGCATTAAATATATAATTTGTGATTCAAAGAGTTACGGAGACTTTTATAAGGAGCCTGTTGGAATTTCTGAATTTTTCTTTGAATGATTAATCTCCAATGCTATTACAAGCTCTTCTTGAAATTCAGCTCATGTTTCCAGCTCATGTCATGCCATATTAAAAAGAGCTCCTTGGGGAAGGGGCAGGGGATAGGTTGATCACAAGGTGTTATGAATGTGTTTGCATATTCATTCTCTGCTGTGAAAAATGCTTTGGATAACTGTTAAAGTGTAATCAAACTTATTTAATCACACTTTAAAATGTCTGTATACTATATATCTCAGAACTGGATCCCATATCATAAGCTGCTTTTAGGGCATCCATATTGAGAGAGAGGGAAGGAGAGAGAGAGAGAATGAATGAATGAATAACTCTGGTATTACAGACACAGGTGTCTGTACCAATGTACTGAACCAGAGTTTTATAAGTGCAAGCATTTATTCAACCTTCAAATCTATAGTCACACAGATATAGTCTATATATGACTTATAATCTCATTTTGGCCTTGTTGCTTTGTCAATTTGACATCCACAGTTACAGGTAAAGTAGAAAGATTAGACATAAATGTTTATAAAGCACTACACAAGTCTCTTTTGACTTTAAAGAAACCATAACTGATAATCTATCCATACCTTATAGGTGGATCACTGGAAATGGTAATTGCTCAGGATGAACATTTACCTGAAGATGTTGTGAGACAATTTGGAATTGATTTGGTCACTGGGTTTCATCATATTCACGATCTTGGAATTATTTTCTGTGACCTTACACCTGGAAAGGCAAGAAAGAATTGTTTTTACACTTACACAGTATTTCTGGAAATATGTAACCACTTTTTAAAAATTATCAGGATATTTCTAACTGCTACTTATATTTGCATTTAAATCCACAGATTCTCTTGGAAGGGCCTGGTACCCTCAAGTTCAGTAACTTCTGCTTGGCTAGAGCAAAGGGTGAAAAGCTAGAAGATTTTTTTGCTTTAATTGGATCAGAGGAGCAGGGAGGTGAAAGTGGTGAAAATACAAGTTTGAAAAGCAAACTCAGAGGTAAAGGTAGCAATATGTAAGGATGGCAGTAGCTGAAGACAGAGCAATAAAGCTGTATAATGGTCCTCTTTCATAATACATGAATACATGTATTATACATACCATACATAATACATGAAATGATGGGATGGGATTTAGTGGCTCCACCTGCTTTTCTCTGACAGTGGATCATTTGGTGGTTGCCCGACTTTAGCACATTTTTCCGTATTCTAAAAGACTAACCTGTGTCTCCTAAGGGATAAATACAGGAAGAGCTTTAAGACAAGAAATACTTGCATTTTAGGTATTTTGGGACTACCCCTCTGCCTTCAGCCTTGCCCACCACTGAGGTGCAGCCACCAAGAAAATTGAATTTGCCTCTCTGACTGAAAGAAATTCAACACTCTTGCTCTACCTTGTTTCATTCAAGTCAATGATAATGTATTTTGGTATATGATCACACTTTATAGTACTTGCACATTCTAAGTCCATATTGTGCAAAGATATGCTGATTCCATCTCCTTTCCTGCAATCTAGCCCTGCAAAAAGAGGGCTAGGCAAACAGAGGAAGCATTTTGGATTTATATACCCAGTGGTCTGAATGTCTTCTCTTGTCCTTTGTTCCTGGCGGTGCGTTGCTGTACAATTAATGGAACTCCCCTGTGTATGTGTACAGTTGTGTGTTGCATGTGTGCAGCCTTAGAAGTAAGTGTGTATCTGAAATTTCAGTGAGTTTCCAAGAAATGAGTTGGAAATACTACTGACTTTTGAAGAAATGTCCATTTCACAATTGTAACACATTGACTTTATTTTGCAGGTTCAATGGCGTACAGTGCTCCAGAAGTGATAAAGGGAAGTGACTTCTCTATAGCCAGTGATTTGTGGTCGTTGGGCTGTTTGCTATATGAAATGTTTACAGGTATTGATCTAATTAATATATTACAATATAAACTGAACAATACTAATAATCAGGAATATGAAGGAAGGTAATGTTTTCAGTGCTTATTTATGTAAAGTGTTTCTACTGTACCAATTTAGCCTAACAGCTCTTAGATCAGTTTACAATTTAAAAACATAAGCAAACATAACACATTATGACAATCCAAAAATAATCACAATAGCAATAAGAAAAAAAACAAATAAGTAAAATAACAAATTAAATCAGTAAATAAACCAATAAAACCAAATAATCCACATTGGCTTCATAAAATATAAATATAGCATCATTCAACAATTCAAGTAGTTGGAGATTAAAAAGGTCTTAACCAGGCAACTAAAAGCAAGAACTGTTGGCACCAGGCGCAGCTCTCTGGGGAGCTGGTTCCATAAATTGGGTGCTACTTCTAGTGGCTTATAAGCCTTTGTGGAATCACTTGCTATTACAGGAAATTTAATACCGGGTTATGAATGGCTAATTTGATGGTGTCAATATTACAATTACTAACCCTAACCAAGCAGTTAGATTTTGATGCAAAATTCATGTATAGTTTAAGCTACCTGTAGATGCTACTTCTGTCCATGCTTGTTCCATTATTTTATTGTTTTTATGCTCTTAAGCATTCAATTTATCTAGTCTGATGCACTGGTATTCTGTTTTCTGTTTGGTTTTTCTTTATTAGTATAAATGCTACTGAGTAACTAATTAAAATGTGTATACATAGGTGGACAGGGACAATTAAATCAAGTATTAAAGATTCAAGGAAAAAGACCTATTGCCCTGGCTTTTTTCCAGCTAATTTTTATTTATTTAATTTGTATAAAAGCCACCCTTTATCATCATGCTCTCTTCTAGTTTTGTGGAAGATCTTCTCCATTATAAAAGGAATTATCAGATAAAATTGCATGCTAATTAACTCTAAAAACAAACAAAATGGCCACCAACAGCATATACAGTTTGGACCTATTTTCCGTTGTATAAATTATTTTTCAACTAAAATATTTGTTAATTAACATCAAGACTCATGAAATCTGTTACAAATGTGTAGCTACTGATGTGTTTGTAATCCATTATTACATGCCAAGGATGTTGAGAACCTCACAGATCAATCTTGTACATGTCTAAGGGCTTGCAATAGATGAAAATTGATGAAATTCCCTTTTTAAAAATATTTTTATTAACTAAATCTCATACTATACAACACAAAAATACATCAACAAAAAATTAAAAGGGAAAAAACTTATTCAAAACTATTAATAATAGTTACATTGCCACACTGGGACCTTCAGCTTCATAATTATTTATTCATATCTATATATACTCCAAGTCATCATCTTCTCTGCTTCCCCTCTCTCAGGAAGATTGTAATTTCCTATTTTTTACATCAGAGATCAATTAAAGAAATAGGTTCAATTTTCCAGTGAATTTTAAGTACAGTATGCAATTGTCATTTGTTCTTAAATTGAAATTATCTTTGATGTAAACAAGTGATTGAATTATTTTGAAGCTTATTCTGGTTTTGCTGAAATCAGCAACCTCACCTTTCATTTATAGGAAGACCTCCATTCTTCGCAGAAAGCATTACTGAATTAGCAGAACAGATTTTACATCAAGATCCTTTCCCACTTAAATGTCAAGGTATTCTTCTGCAGATATAATTCACTGAAAAATAATTCTAACAAATGTGTGAGAAATAGTATTTCTTGCTTATAAGATTAATTATAAGGAGCAAAACTTTCAGAAATTTACTTTGTACTTCTAGAAAAAAAATGGTCTGCTTGTTCCTGCGTATTTATTTTTAATGGTGCCTTTTGTGCAGTATCTCATACTGCCCAAGAGCCGACAGGATTAATCACTTATGCAGTGGGGACTTAGGAACTGGAAGTTACCTTGAAACACTTGCTTCTTGGAACAGGACAGGAAACAGTAGTAGAGCATGCACAGCAAAGTTCCACGCACCTGTCCTGATCTGAAAACTAGTGTTCCTGCTCCTTTGGCAGCCTGCATTAACTATCAGTAGCTTCTTGTTGTGCAAGTGGTGGTTCCCTCTTACGTAGCAAAATGAGCAGGAGCACTGTAGCTCCATTGGATACTGAGCTTTAATATGTTGGCATAACATTCAGTTTTTCCCTTTCTAGCCACACCTAAGTGACACATCTTTAATAGATTCTTGGGCAACTGGGATATTTATTAAGAAGCAGAAAGTCTCAACCCAGTCCTTGATATTATACAGCAGAGTTTGTAAAACCAACATAGCTGAGTAATAACTTTATAGTTCAGCCATTCTAGCTTTATATGATTTCCTGAGGGTCACAAGACATCAGTACGTTAACTGAGGAACCACAAGCTTCTGCCACTTTGAAATCTGTGAATTGGGAGAGGCTCTGTATAACAGATACAACGCCACATGGCCAAAGATTCCAGAAAAGTGGCTTGTTAACAGCTGCAGTGTAATAGAAGGCGGAAAGAAGACATTGGTGGTAATTCATTGGAACCATTTATATAATCAGAATAAGCCACAATTTCCGTAATCATTTCCTGGGTGCAGCTTCTCAGGTTGCCCGAACCTGAGCATGGCTTGTTGGAGAAGGAAACAGCCCTCTAATACCCCATGGGCTGTGGTAGGGTTCAGATGACAGAATAAACAGTGATTATGGAAATTGTACCTGGCATGCACTGTTATTTAAATAAGCCACTGTGGCTAATTTTGATCATTCAGTCCAGATTAATCCATGAAGGATGGAGGACAGATACAATTTAATATTGATATCCACCTTTGAGAGACACTGGGAAAAGATCAGGAACTGACAAGAACTCCAGGGAATACCCCAGATTTAGAATGGTACAGCTCCAGAAATGACTTTTATATCTCATTAAGACATTTCAGCAGGCATTTTGGGGAGGATTGATAATTATTATTTGTTGGGATTTATAGAATTGGGTTGATAAATGCAGTTCAAGTAAAATAATGTGATAATGGGTTGGTCCAGTGGTAATGGGTTATTTCAAATTCAGTTGATTGATCACTATCAGTTACAGATTGATCTTCTTTTTGAGAACCAGTGTGGTGGAGTAGTTAAAGCTGGGACTCATGTGATCTGAGTTCTAGTTCCCACTCATCCATGAAGCAAACTGGGTGATTTTGGGCGAATCACACACTCTCAGCCCAACCTACCTCTCAGAGTGGTGGTTGTGAGAATAATATTGAGAGGGGAGAATTCTATATGCTATTTTTTGTTCCTTGAAATGAAAAAAGATGTGATGATAATAATAATAAATCTGTCTCCTTAAATACATTTTTCAAAATAGCAGGTTTAGCCTGGAACAAGTTGAAGCTCAGTTCTGCATCTATGCCTGTGTGTCAAATGATTTGCTCTGTGCATTTTGAAGAATCTGATCTCTAGATCAACGTAGGAAATGAGAAAGAAATTACCTTTTAATGATGATAGAGTTAAGCTTGCTGCTGTCTATATGGTCCCATTGAAACAAGAATGGGTGTTGCAATCATATGTCTCTTCCCAACAAGAATTGCCATTGTTGTTCTTGCTTACCTTTATCTACAACTATTCAGACAGACAGGAGTGAGAATTTTTCCCCTCATTAGGAACATTTGTAAATATGCTGCAAGTGTGTACTTAAAATATTTTATTGATTTAGATGTAAATGTAATATATGTATTGTTGTTAACTAAAATTTATAATATTACCTTACAGGGTCAGCATTTCTAAAACCATCTTCAGACTTCATTAATTTGCTTGACTCTTTGCTGCAAAAGGATCCTCAGAAGAGGTAAAATGGCGATTTGGTGCTGTAGCTATTTATAAATTGACATACTTTAAAGCATAACTTTGAGTTGTGACATTGAACTCACAGTATAAGAGGATTTTTTTCTTTCTATTTAAAGACTGACTTGGGAAGAGCTGCTGCAGCATCCTTTCTGGCGAGATGCTTTTATTCAGTTGCCCCGCGAATCTATCTCCAACCAAGACACAAACTCCAGGTACTGTAGATAAAATGTGAATACACTCGTGTAGCTTGCTTAATACAACATACACTTTCATGGGCAGTGTCCCCTTCTTCACTTGCATAATTATGCACCACAATAGATTTTAATGATAATTTTTAATGTATCACTGAACTCTTTGTTTTCCTGCAACAGGCAGGTTTGATAGGCATAGAAAGCAGTGTATTATGGTGATGCACTTGGGGTGGGGCAATGCAGGAAATACACAATAAGAATATAGTGCTTGATGGTGGAGACGAGGGAGATATTTCCAGCACTTCGCCTTGACGACATCTCCTCTTCTGCTTCCATGAGAGAACACATGATGGACTTGTCAGTATTGTGGGTGAGCAGGGCACAAGATGGAGACAGGTTCAACAATTTACCTAGGTAACCTCTGCTCTGCCAGAGCCACTGTGGACGTGTAGTCTGAGCTTCCCCAAGTGGTGTGTCATGTTTGTGGCTACATGATTCCCAAGCGTGGTAAGCCTTGCAAAAGATATGTGAACTACCTGTCATGGCTGTTCTTCTCCCACTTCTTCCAAACAAACTAGAACAAAGGTTTTCTAATAAAAGACTATTATATTAAAGCTGACCAGCTAGGCTAGCTTTGGAGTACAAAACAGAGTATTGCAGAAGTCATTAATAAAAGAAACAAGAATACTAGCCATTAGGGAATTATAGCTTAATAAGAAAATAAGAAGTTGATTCTGAACTTGAATACTCCTTTTCCTTTCCAAACTGAAAGCATCAATCCATACTTTCAAGGTGGGTCCTCTCATTTGAAGGCCAATTACTTGCAGTGACTGAAGCTTTTCAACTTACCCTGACACCATATCCTCTAATTAATGATAAGTCTGCTCCCCTCTCTATTAGTACACTCACTAAATTTTCCCACAGACCTTGAAAGCATCTAATTCTCAGCAACTTCCTGGGTTATCTCTGGGTCTACTGACCTTGCTATTTCAGCTGCAGATTTTGACCCCACTTTTTTGACTGATTCCTTGAAAGATTCTTTTATAGTGGAAGTGGGCCAAATCCATACATTAACAATCTATTTCTCTAATTAACATTGACATTATAATACTAACAGCAATTTTGGCCAATGAATTACAACAAGTTATCAAGTTTCCTTTTTTATACATTTTTTGTTAATTTCCCAAAGCTATAACAAAATGAAACATTCTTCCTCCCCACAAATAATTTATATTGTACAAAGGTTTAAGGTATTCATTTTCATTGGATAAGTGTTAATTAAATCAGTCATAATGAATATACATGGGGCTTATACATCTGTGTCTTGTATATAAGAAAATATAATATTAATAGAAAAAAATACGCAAATGTTTCAACAGTGACAAGCCAAATATCCCTATACTTACATGTGTGTAGGTTGCATCTAAATACTATCTGTTCAAACGCTTAAATCAATAGATCCTTTAGTCCAACCATATCAAATTGGATTCATTAAAAATGAGCAGGGGTGTAATATCTTAAAGGTGGATCTTTGAATGCAGATAGCAGAGATAGGTGCTATCATTCCCTTGGATGTTGAAAAGGCCTTTGATGAAATTTATTTTTGCAGCATTGAAAAATGCAGATTTTCTCATAGCATTTCTCAAATGAGTTAAAATGGGTTGCTTTCTGAGGTTTCTTTCTTGGGCTCTAGAAAAGTATTCCCACTTATTCCCTTGACATTTGATTTATGTTTTGAACTCCTGGCATGTGCTATAATTGCTATCCTGCTGCAGCTTGACCCATTTTCCTTTGCTATAAATTAACTTTATGAGGAAACCCAGATATAAAAACAGGTTAAAATCATACTGTTAACTTGGACACACAAGCAGATTTTTACATTGGATCAGCTAGTGCGATCTGATAATTTCTTATCATCCCACTCTGCATGCTAAATATGACTTTCTTGCAGTAACAGAATGGCAAGAACAGTTGAAAGTTCAATTGGAATCCAGGTTCATCTCTGCAGTTCCTTCTGCTCGAGAGTTACCTCTACATTTAGAAGCATGTGCTAAGACTGATTAGATATACTAACCTATTTATATAAATATTTATCATGCCCGAGGCTTCGGCGAATGGGGCGGCATAAAAATGTGTTAATAATAATAATAATAATAATAATAATAATAATAATAATAATAATAATCATTGGTGAATAAAAATGATACATGGCATCTTGGGCAAGAATGGAATAGGGAACTAGACTGTTCTATCTTTCCTAACTAACAGAATGGTGTATTAGCATCTATTTTGGAAGTGTCAGTGGATCTTAGGCTATGTTTTACTTAGGAAAAGATTCTGTTCTGTAAATATTGGATGCCACAATAAGCCTTTAATAAAGGCTTGACTAAGTCAACTAAGTGTTGAAGGTGTGATATGGCTAATACTTCCTTTACCTGTAAATTTTGGCAATGACCAATATAATGCCATTTTAGGAGATTGTAATACAGATAAATTATATATTGGAACACTCCTTAACATATTTAAGTACAGTACAATTTAGGAATGTACTGTAAGTTAGTTGCACTTCGTTTGCAATGAATTCAGCAAGAATTGAATAACTAATTTCATCTGAATCCATCTCTTTGTTAGTCATTGTGCATTAATATGAGAGAGAAAACAAGAAACAGTCAACACTTAATTCTAAGTAAATTCCTAAATTTAATTCCCTAAATTAATCTGATATATATTGCATTCATTTCTTAACTATAAAAGTCATTGTTTGCTTACATCCTACTGTTGTTAAAATGGGAGCTGTAGCCCTGGTTTCATTGTAGGTGAAAGTTGTTCACCTGCCAAAAATTCTACTAAGTTCTGATTAATATGGTCTTGTATCCCTCAAAATTATTAATTTTAAATGCATCTCTAATAAATTGATCTATAAAGGTATTTTTGCAATAGTGCTCCAATTGTTTTATTTGACCTTAATTTACAATGAAAGCTGTATTGACTTCATAGTACATTGTCCTTTGTTTGGGCAGCAATGGAAATCCTGAGCTGTTTGTATCCGGAATGTCTGAGTTTCAGATACAGAATAAAAAATTGCCAGATGTTATATCCACTGGAACAGAAAATAAACAGTTCAACAGTTCTTTCAGGATGGGTAAGATTACAGTTTCATTGTATGTATTTGTTTAAAAGTAAATTTCAAATGAATGCTTGAAAAATTATAGCCCTATATATTATTCAGATTGGTTCAAATACTGTTTTCTTTGACAGAAAACCCAGAAGAATTGCGTCCTAAAAGTGTTGTCGATGGTGGAGCAAATGAATCTATATTTCTTCTCAGGTATGAAAAATCTGCTATAAACACTTTTGTAGGATTTAAGTGTCTTGAGGGGCAATGCTTTAATGCTCTTGTTAAACTGTGAATAACCAGTAGACCAAATGATTTTTAAAAACTAATCAAACAGCAACTCTTTCAAGATAGGAGGGTAGCCACTTTTGCCCCAAGGAAAAGATTTCTCCCCCACTCTGATTATTCTGGTGGGCCAGATGACATAATGGGATAGAGTCTAACCCCGAAGCCCTTCCCTTCCAATGATAGCATCTAGTCTACCCTGTCCACTTGGGGGGGAAATTATGCAAAGGACTTCAGGAAAACATGTGGTATGAGAAATGTTGTATGGAAGTTCTTAGCCTATCTCTGAGATCAAAGATAAGCTGCTTAGTTTGCCTACTCCCAAAGTCATGGAACAAAGGAAAGCCAAGGGTGGAGGAGTAAGTGATGGTACCCATAGAGGGTGCTCAGTCCTCTGCAGGCTGGATTTTGGCTCCAGTGTAGGCCAGATTAGATCTCAGCATGGGTCAGAGGTTGCCCTCCCTTATTTTAAGAAGAGCTGCAGATGTACTTATCTTATAGATGATTGTCATAAGAACAGCACTTCTTTGAAGTGTATTGACTCAAATATTTTGGGGATGCAAAACGGATTTTTAAAAAGGATCACAGTTTTAGTGACTTAATCCTACAGAAGAATTTAATAGGTAGTATATCAAAGTTTAAATAACTATAGTAAACATTTTCTCAGATGCTTAAGCAGAAGATACTAATAAATGGGGGGAATCCAGTCTTGACTGATTTGGTATAACAGTAATAGTTCTCAGTGTGTTCAATATGAAGAAAATACTTGTAATACTTTCCATTCAAATATTCTGCTTTGTTCACATTTGTAAACATTGTCTTTCAGTTCTCGACCTACCCCTAGGACAAGTACTGCAGTGGAAAGAAACAGTGTTGCTATGGCTCTACCTCAAAATTCAGGGCACACTGCATTTCCATGTCCTTCAGCAAAGGTGAGTGCAGACTGAAGGAGGCAGGAGACCAGAGACTGAATTCTGTATGGCTGCTGTAGCAGACCATGTATGAAATAGAGCTGCTAATCATAATCACAGTTAGGAAGAGATGCCATCCTTGAAGCCCAAGGTCAATGGTAAAATCACTGACAGTGTCAACAGAGGCAGACAGATTAAGAAAGAAGATGAAGAGGACATCCATAGTAATTCACTGAAAGAAGGTGATTGAAACTCCTTGTAAAACTTGAGGGAGCAAAATAGGTAGAAGCTAGATTAAAGATCATCACACAGAGTGATGTGTGGTCAAGAAGCCTGATTTTTAACTACTTGTTCAGGAGAAAAATCTTATGTCAAGTATGCATGCATGGACTATTGCTTGTTGATATAGTAAAGATTGCACACTCAGTTCATCTTGAGGTAGAATAGTAGAATATCAGCTGAAGGAAAAGGAGTGCATAGGTTCTTAAGGGCATAAAACATTTGTTCCTATGTAAACACTGTTATACAAGCAAAGAAGAATATATGTAAAGACAAGGAAAGGAAAGAATGAGGAAGAAGAATAATGGGCAAGTTCACACAACACAGCAACCCACCCAGTGAATAAGCTATGCAGTCTGGGTTGTTTGAGGATGATCAAACTTTCCATGGGTCATTTATCTCCTCCTCCTGAGTCCCTCAATTGGTATACCCTCTCCTCGTCTTTTTCCTCTACTCGTCCATTCACAATATTTTTCATTCCCTCAACCCCACAAATTCTGTGTTGCTGTCAGTGATAGCTGCTCTACTGCTGCCCAAGCAAGACTTTGAAGTGATCATCACTTTCTGGGCTATGAAAGTGGCACAAATGTGTGATATTTTTCATTTTTAAAAAATTCAGCCCTTTCCAGTTGTGCAGGTGTGTGCCTACAGCTGCCTGATATGTGGAGCCTTGCCTGACCAATGTGACTGCTGTCAAAGTGAAGTAGGCAACAACCATTAACCAAGCAAAGTAGCATATAGATTGCTTGGCATACACTTGACAACAACTCATATACAGCTTTGCTTGGTGAAAGTGCAGAGGGTTTCTTTTGTCTCAAATGCATAGGACTTCATCCTAAGGAAACCTTTCTAGCTGCATTGTATTGTCATGTTTCAAGGGCAATAGTGTCACTTTCAGAAACTGAAATGAATTATAGTGACTGTGTTAATAGTTTTTTCCTGCTTCTCCCTCCTCCAGAACTTATCCCTTTATTGATGTTATATGGAGCCTTTTCAAGGATATTTTTAGACATTTTGTCCTTATAATGGAAAGTTCCCAAAATGGTTCCCAAGCAGTAATTTCTATTGCTGGGATAGAAACAAGAATGATAACTTCAGGTATTATCTCTGAGAGTGCAATCTGTATGAGATACTGCTACAATATTATTATAGTTGGGAGGGAAAAATACAAAATTATTTTCCAAGGGTATTGGAATCATCAAGAAATCCTTCTAGGTCAGACATAGTTAAGAAAGAATGTGAGAAATGTGAGTCTCCAAGTGTAGTTATTCACATGGTATTGTCTTAAAATTTCTTCTTGGTAATTTTACTACTTTGTGGGCTGCAAGAAAAGCCCTTCTTTTTGTAAAATATGCTATGAATTGAATACCTTGTAATAAAAGGTGCAGAATTTGTATATGTATGCTGTGTTTAAATAAATATTAGATGGAAATATACATTGTAAATAATTTTGCTTATATTATAGGATAAAAACATGTACTGCAGTCAAGATATGGAATCCAAAGTAAAAGAACTTATCTATACTGAGTCTGATCTTATTGTGACTCCCATTATTGACAATCCAAAGGTACTACAGAAACTTTCCACATACAACATTTCTAAATGAAACATTCAGAAATGTACTGTACATGTTGCTAGTTTTTTTGCAGTGCATTGCAAGTCAAATACTTCCATCTAGTGTCTATGTTTGGTTTCTGCAGTTTTATGTGAAAAGTCCTATGCAACTAGGAATAAACTGTAAATGTGCTATTTACCCAGCGTATATTGAATACACTTGGATAACTAAAAAATCAGACAATAGATTCTCAGACCCTGAGAATAGCCAGAGAATTGTCCCTGTGTCTGACAAATACTCGGGTTCACCATGGGTTGTCCTCTTCTCCTTTTAACTTCAGCTGGAATACCAGAGAACTTGGTGACTAAAGCTGGCTTGCCTCTCTTCCCTTATGTCAAGGGAAGGTTTTTTCCTCTCTGAATTTATAGCCAATGTTTAAAAAAAGGTTAAAAAGAAGGGGTTTTCTCTGAAAAGTGATGGCTCACATATTTCCAACTTGCTGAGTACCTAGAGTCTTGGGAAGGGGTGGAAAGACACAGTGAAGAATCTGTTCCAACCGCACACTCCACAAAAAAACCCCCAGAGGATATTTCTGCAAAAGTGGTTACCCAATAGCTACCCCTTTCCAAGTATATATAACTTGTGCTTTAGTACTTTGACAACTTCAAGACAGCACAAAGCAAAAAACAGACCAATTTGCAGCATCTTTGGGTCATTGTGCATGGTTGCTGCCTGCTGCACTTCAATAGCATACACTTCCCAGTGTGCAGTAGATGCTTCCTATTTCAGACCCCAGCAATTGCATACTAAAATTTCAAACTAATATTTAAGTCAAATTAAAATTTAAAAAGATGAATATATATATATATATATATATATATATATATATATATATATATAATTTCTTCTGATTATTATTTTGTAAAGGGGCAGTGAACCAGTGATAGACTGTCCAATATGCTACTTGGGTACTTTGGAGATGCTCTCACTTGCTTTCAGCTTGGGGATTTCAAGAAGTGTGAGGAGATTAAAAAACAAAACCAAAGGAAAGCCACAGCAAGCCAAAAAGGACTCATGAGTGTGGTGAGGGACACTGAGCCAGTGTCTACCGTGTTTGCTAGGTGGCTGTTGCTGGCAGTGCCTGAGAGAACTTTGTAAAAGTGGAAGGGGATTTTCTGCTGGTGCTGAATGCTTGCTCACCACTTCCCAGAACCTATAATGGGGTTGGTTTTCCAGGTTCAGATGACGCAACAACTCATTGTGGGTTCAGCAATCTTGAAGTCAAGCCATGGATTGTCAGGGAAGTGGTCCAAGTACTCATGACACAACAGTCCATTGTGACTTGTTATCTGTGACAGGCTCTCACGTAATGTGAACCCAGTCTGAGTCTAATAATCAGGACGGTAGGATAAATGTGGTTTGGAGTATGCAGATTCTTATGATAAATCACTGGAGGTTTACTTTGTTGCCTTATTCAGTAACTTCACGTGAGTCAGTATATTTTGCTCTAAAATATTGACAGCTATTATAATCAGAAGTACTGTGATTAAAAACAGGTATATATTTATATTTGATCAATGTTCAGGGTTACCTCAAAGTCAGTCAATTCTTTTCTCTGTTCAGATAGTGAAGCAAGTTCCGGTGAAATTTGACATGAAAAATCTGCACATTCCAGCTCATTCAGGTGAATGTGATGTGTGATGAAGTAATTATAAAGAATATACATTTTAAAATGGCAGTTTATTATTCTGTGAATAGGCAGCCAGTGCTAGTTAGGTATTCAAAATCGAGTCAGTACTGCCATGGTATTTTGGCTGCATTACTACTTTCTCCCTAATCATTTAACTTCTTAAAAGCTTTGGAGAATGTATTGTATAGAACGTAATATTTAGGAATGCAAATAATTCATCTTGTATGAAGAAATAGTATCTTGCTTGATAATTGTTTTAATGCTTAATGAGTGTTTTAATGGCTAATAATTGAAAATAAAAATTGTGTAAAATCATGTGATTAAATTTATCAGTATTTTAGCTTGCACTATTCTAAAATATTTGTAAATTTGCAGTATTTTAGCTACAATACATGCTTTTGAAATTCTTCTTTTTGTGCAGCTGAGAAACTGTTGATGCTGAAAGAAACAGAATGGAATGACTTCTTAGAGCAAGTGTGCCAGCTGACTGGCTCCTCAGAGAAGACTACAGGAGCAGCCAGAGTTAAACTAAATTTGCTTTGCTACCTCTGCACAGTTGTTGCAAATAAAGAAGTAGCAACTAGGTTAATCAACTCACAGCTAGTAAGTTGTATAGCTTGTCAGGAGCTAAAAAGTAGATGTTCACCAAAGTCAATTATATCATGCAGTTATACCATTCACTCACTTTTTCAAGCTGAATCCTATCAGTTGTACCCTTGATCTAGTAAGCCCCTGAAGGTTGGAGGCTTATAAGTGCAGAGCGGGAGGTGAGGCAGATGTGCCTCTCACTCTCTGCAATTTAGGTAAGTGCCTACATTTGCTTGTCCAGCTGAGATGCTTTGAAGGTAGGAAGGAAGGAGGCTGGAGGACCATCTAGATACCTCATATTCTGGAAGGCCCTTCCTGCTGTCTGAAATGCCTACTTTACCGCCTTTATGAGTTTTGACCCTGTAGAGGCAGCTGGTGTGATTCTTTCCTCATGGGCTGCGAGGAGGAGGAGCACAGATTCCCAGCTCCAAGGTCAGAGCTCTTTGGTACTTGGAATCTGAAGTATCTTAGGCCACTCTCTAACTGCTGCTGCAATCCTGCTCATATTTTGCCTAGGAAGAAGCCTTAGTGGAACTTACTTGTGTGTAAACATGCATATGATTTCACCAGAAGAGAAATCTTGTCTGCAGCAAGAATAAAGCTACAGGGAATGTTCTGGACATAATTCTGGATTTAAATTATGTTCGTGAACTGGTTGTTAGGTGATTATTATGGTTTGATAAATTGGAGAAAAAACAGTTACTTAAGTGTTTAACACTGAATTTACTTTGCTATTGAAAGCACTTTTGACTGTGCTTAGATATGCATGTGCCCAATCAGGAGCACTGTATATATTCCAATGCATGTGATGATCTTGTTGAGGAAAAAGAATTGCAAGTGCAACTTGAAGAACCATTTCCCTATAGTAATAAAATTGATTAACTTTATCTAACTGGCTACATTTGGGCAATCATTCAGGGCTTCATAACCTACAGTTTACCAAGCTGTAGGTCATGGTTATGAGCTCTTCTTTTACCTCTCCACTTTTCAACTTCTGTTATTCAGTGGTAATTAAAATCCATAAATAAAACCTTGGTATTTCTTGTAGGGCTTTTGAAGTCTACAAGTAAAACCACAGTGTTAAACTCATCAATAGATTTCATTAAAATTTCAGTGAATAATTTTATGTCTGGTGTGTTTTAAATTCTAGTTCCTGGTGCTAATACAGCAGCTAAGAATAGCTCCAAACTGGGACATGTAAGTAAAATGTTATATTTAATCACTTTGTGTGCTTCTGCAAAGTTTATTTAGAAGGAAAAACCATGGAACCTCTCTGTGTACATCATGTAAAAGATCAAGGATATAATCTGCATTTGTTTTTAGCGCAATCTCTGAGCAAATTTTGAGCCAAAGCAGGATCATCATCATCCTTGCATACAGAAATCTATGTATGCAGTACCCTACCTCCATGTAGTCTGTTTTATTCTGGAACAAGAGTATGTCCTTGCAAACCACAATGCAGCAGTGCCAAGTTACTCTAGCTAGGGATGTACAATGCAGGGAAATCAGTTTAAGTTGACCCAGAGGGATCTTTACAGCATTTTGAATCAGGCCATCAGAAGTAGACAACGCCAAACTCTTAAGAGTGGAAATCCATGTGCTGGCTCAACTCATGTCACACCAAGTTGGTGCCAGCATGGGAGAAATGGAACAAAAACTAGAAGGTTAAATCAGGAAAATCCCCACAAACAGAATCTTCAGCATTTTCCTAACAGCAACTGATTATCAGTTAAGGCGGGTCCATGGAGAGGGTTCATTAATTTGCTGAAAAAACATGACTTAATAAATGAGCACATACAGACTAATTTATGGTAATTCTGCTGATGAATTGGTTCTCTATGAGAATATTAACTGCTCCACATCTCTGTGGAGTCCGTACATGGAATGAACAGGACTGTATCAGTTGTTTGTGATAGTTCAGAATGTTAGAAGAAAGTTGTGAATATCTTGTCAATGCTTTTAAGCTTCACCATTATTCACTTTGAAAGGAAAGAAAGTACAGATTCTTTATAGCAATAGCAGTCCATATAAATTCCTAACTGAAATTCTTGGAAATTATGGTGACAATGATTGGTGAAATGAATTCCATGTAGAAATGTAATTTATTTATTTTATTTATTTACTAAAACATTTTTATGCCGCCCCATTCGCCGAAGCCTCGGGGCGGCTTACAACGTTAAGTTAAAAAAAAAATAATAATAATTATAACATTATTGTGCCTGGAGTAACTCCCTAAGTTTAATTTACAGTTATTTGTGCTGGTCAGTCCAACATTGTAATAACTTTAGCTTTTTAATAGTTTTTGAAGTTACCAATGTGTAGCTTTTATAAAGTTAATACATGTATTTGATTACAGACGAGCTAGAGCAGCCCGAATAATTGGTTTACTGGCATTGCATACAACTGAACTTAAAGAAAATGTTCCAGTTACTGAGGTAATATTAATTGTTAATGCTGTTCTCAGAGTTTTCAAAAGCACCGTCTAAGCAGAGTACACTTGAATTTACTTCATCAATTAGTAATAGTTTCAGTTTTAAGTTTGAATTGGATAGAGTTGGCAACATCATTCTTATTATGTGCATTCACTTTACTGAGGGACCTCAGGACAGCTTATATGGCCTCCCTCCCTATGCCATTGTGTTTGCAACTTGGGATGTGTGAGGAATCTGATAAGGCTACAGCAAGATCAACTCCAGTCTAATGAGTTGGTCCTGATTTACTCAAATTTATGCAGTTCACATAACTTACTGTAGAGATGTACAGTTCTCTGCTCCAGATTGCACAAATATGTGAAACAGCTTCATGGAAGCTGAAAAAACCCCAGGTTGGGCTACTGTTGGCTATCATATTGGGAATTTGCTGAAAATCCATCAGATTCAAATGGAACAAAATTTTCAGTCTCATACATCCTTCCTTATAATATCCCTGAGAAATTGTGACTAGTCTAAGATCATCTGTTAAGTACCATGGTTGGGTGGGATTTTTTATCTCTGCAGTCTTAGTTCAAAATTCTTTTTATATACCATACTCTTGAAATAACATTTCATAAACAAAGCAGAAACTCAGATACATATTTTGAGGAGAAGCAGTATTCTAAATTAACCTTTTAAAGAGACTAAAAATGAATCATACACATTTCTGAAGTAGAGTCTTACCTGAAACACTTTAAAAGAATTTTAAATTTGAGGGTTTTTTGTGGAAATCTCCCATTTTCTGATACTATACAGATTAAAACAGGAATGTTGAAACAGTTTACAGCTTGAGGGCTGAACTCCTTTTTGACAAAGCTCTCAAACTCTGCATTCCATTGGTGGATGGGGCCAAAATACCCACATATTTTAAAATTAAAGTTTTTGTTGCTGGTAAGCGGGACTCCTGGAGGGCAGAATTTGGCCTATAAACCCATGGTTCTGCAACCCTGGAGTAACAGATTCAGGATGTTGTAGATGTCTGGGAGAATATTGGTATTTGAGGTTGATCTACTTTTAATTTTGCCTGAGCTGTTTGAAATTAAGTTTTGAATATGAACATGCATGTCACATCCTCTAAAAATGACAAAGGTACACATCACTGAACAGAATGCTTTAATCTGAGGACAAGGGTGAACATAAAAGCTATTCTTAGTATATAGTATTTCCATTGTTCTGAGATCTTCATGAATAATGTTTTGTAAAGCTTTATGGCAAGTTCAAAAATACATTTGAATTGACTTAGATACAACCCTTGTCTGTCAAGAAATATCTTAAACTCTTCAAGGGAAAAGCCTAGCTGTTTTTGTCTAGCTTTAAGGTGGAGCACCATGTATAATTCTGGCTGCACTGCTCTGTCAGGGTAACAGCCCAGTCCTGTGGCACCTATGCACATGTTTACTTTGCTGCAGAGGGTATTCGTCTTATGGGGTCTAAAGAAAGCATGCACAATTCTTCCAGTCTCACATTGCTCTTTTCCCAAAAAGGTAGTGCAGTTTCCAGCTACTGAAGGCATGTCTAGGTATGTCTTTTGCTGTAATGGAGGAAGCAGCTGCTGCTGCTTCTAATGGAAAAAACTGTATGTGGACAGCAGCCATTGAGGAAAAAGGATGAACCATGAATATAGGTTGGCAGGATCTACTATCTTTCACATAACCTTTACCTGGTGGTTGCTTAGATTATTCAACATGATCTAGATAGATCAGTGTATTATAGAAACTTCCACCAGAGGTCACTTGGACATCAAAATTACATACTGAAGAAAAAGCTCTGTTGAATCTGATGATGGATGTAGACTGGGCAGTAAAGATGTGTGCTAACTCTCAGATTTGACTCTAACACAGATACAATACTTTGTAAAATGGTCCAGTTCTGCTTGGAGCAGTTTGGAAGAAATCTGCTTCAACTTGAGTACTGAGCTAAGATTCAGAAATACAAGACTTCATGTCTGCCACCAACCATTATGAGAAATCAAGAAACAGCTGCACTTCACCAAACCCTCATTGGTAGAATTGGATGGTTTTCTAGGCATAGTAATCCCTCAGAGAATATATACCTGCCAAATGTCAGGAAGAACAGGTGCAAGATTTTAGAACCTTTATATTTTCCTTCCTTCCCTTTTTTTGGGAACAACTGATAATTGTTTCATTTCTTAGAAGGTTTGGATGAAATTTGGCAGGATAGTTGCCCCGTCTGAGGGTATCAAGCATGCCAAGTTTAAGATGACCAGGTACAAGGATTTCTTGTAAAAGCATCCTTGACATTTTGAGGGTGTTTTGAAGAAGATACACTTATTCTCCTGCGTTCCTAGTGAACCATTGTTCTTAACTGTAGTCTAGAGCAGAATAAGGACATGGTCAGGAACAAGCCAAGAGTCCAGAACCAGGAAGACAAAGCAGAGGTACAGGTGCCTTGGACAGGATAACAGAGCATGACAGGATACACAGTAAGGCAAGATACACAAGAGCACAGGAACCAAATGTAGGAAGGGTCAGGCAAGATTCAGGAACTGCATCACAGCTTGCAGGAAGCCCTGCATTACTGAGGCAACATGGTTAGGCAGGATACATGGGTAAGGCAGGATATAGGACAGGCAAGAGGCAGGCACAGCAAGAAGGCAACATGGAAAGGCAGGAAACACAGCCAGAACCAGGAACAGGAATCAGGAGCAGGAATGGTCAGGAAGAGGCAGGCACAATGGCAAACGGGTGAACCAGTGTTGCTGAAGCAATACAGTAAGGCAGGAGATGTGGCAAGATGCATGATAGACAGCAGGAACCAAGAGCAGAAACCAGGTGCAGGAAAGACCAGGCAGCATACAGGTACAGCAGCAAACAAGAGTACCTCATGCTGCTGAGGCCACATGCAAGGAAGGCAGGCCTGCATTTCTGAGGCTTGTTCCGGGGGAGAAAAAGCTTGCTCTTATATAGCTCTTCCCCCAGGACTTCCAGCTGGTGCTCACCAGTAAACTAAAAGCTCCAGCAATGCCTGGGACTGATCCTGCAAATGTGGTGGTGGTTGCTCTGGTTCTGGACACCAAAGCAGCCCAGATCCTGGCAACATGGTTATAAACAACACTGTTCTACTGATGTTCAGTAGCAACTGGTATACTGCCTGCTGTCTCTAAACTCAAGCACATAGCCATCAGGACTAGTAACCACTAGCGTTATTCTCCACTTTTTTAAACGACTCCCTTTTAAAGTCATCCAAACTGGTAGCCATCACTGTATCTTCTGGTAGCAAATTCCATAGATTAATTATACACTCTGTGAAAAGTGCTTCCTTTTATATGTCCATAGTTTAGATAGACATTAGATGACCCCAGTTTCTAAAATTTTTAGGAGATAAAAATGTCTACTTACCTCTTTCTCCATGCTATGCATAATTTTGTACGCTTCTGTCATGTTCCTCCTCACTCATCTTTTTCTAAGCTAAATAGCCCCAGTTGTTATATAAATCCTGTCTCATGGTGATAGTTTTATTCACAGAGGGAAGGGTGTAAAAACATGAGGCACTCACTGATCCTTCATTGCGTGTTTGAAAGAACAAATATGCTGAGAATTGTGCGAAACAGACCCTTGTAGATTAAAGATGAAGAGATTCCTCCGCCCCAGCTTCTGTTATAATTTTTAAATTAAGTTGGCATTATGCTAATATTCATAAAACTCATTGCACTTTACTTTTTTCACATTTGGGAAAACTTCCTTTGAGAAGCTAGAGTTCAAAAGTTGCTATATACAGATTTATTTTCTATTTTCCTAAAGTGACTTCTGGAGGATAAATTAATAAAGCATTTATTGTAGGCATACGGCTTGTTTATATAAATACTTGTTTAGGCTAACCTTACTTTATTCTTAATCACTTCTCAGCCTGTTGCCTAAGATCATGTGTGTGTGTGTGTGTGTGTGTAATTTATCTGTAAATGAACATATACAAGTTTGTTATCCCTTATTACTAGCCAAGTACAAAGACTGAAACTGCATGAGATTTGCTAAGGCAGTGTTTTTAAATTTTTAAAATTGTCATGAATCCATAACTTTTTTGCCTCATCCACAATATATTTTGAACAGATGGAAAACTTGTTCCACCTTCCAGTTGTTTTAACCCACAACTCTCATCAGTTGTAGTCAGCATAGATAATACTGAGGTCTGATTAAAGTTTTATTTATTTATTTATTTATTTATTTATTTATTTATTTTTGGATTTATATCCTGCCTTTTTCCTACAAAGGGCTCAAGGCAGCTTACATCATTCTCCTCCTCCATCTTATCCCCACAACAACAACCCTGTGAGGTAGGTTGGGCTGAGAGTCTGTGACTGGCCCAAAGTCACCCAGTTGGCTCCATGGCCGAGCGGGGACTCGAACCCAGATCGTCTGAGTCCCAGTCCCATGTTCTTAACCACTACACCATAATTCTGAAAAGGCCATGAGTTACCCACTGCTGATTTAGAGTCACATGCTTTCTGTTTATAGTTTGTATAGTTTGTAATCTTTTTCAAGTATTAGCCTTGTAAGAAATGGCAATTTTAAGATAACCAATTGCAAAAAGTGGGAACTCTTTAGTGAAATGGACATGCAGGTTATATTGGTTTTATTTTCGGTGTTGTTCAGCTTGCCCAGATTTGAAGTTGGTACCCTATAACCATTTAGATCTTTAATGCCTTTTAATCTTCTTATGAATTTGTCATTTTAAAGCTGTTTACTTGAAACATTATCATGTGTCATGCCTTTTATACAAAACATGCACAAATATCTCCTTATTTCCCAGGGAGCAGATGCTCTCAGATTAAATCAATAGAATTTTCACTTCCCTTGAAAATGTGTATAAAACATATCTCCTTATTTATAATAATGTGATATGATCCCAACTGCATATGTCCTTCTGTAACAGAGGCAGGTGATAGCATGTAGCATAAAACCAGGTGTCTCTGAGAAGAACAGTGTGGCAAGAACAGCCATGCCTCAGGCATGCTGTCTGTTCCATTCCCAGATCTGACCATGGAGAACTATTGCTCTTTACCTCATCACTAAGGTACAAAAACAGTTAGAAGTGCCACTGACATGGGAGGAAGAAGAACGGCACCATTAAGACTTCTCCTGTGAGGTTGTTTAGTATCTTTATGCCAGCTATCTGTGTGAAAAACTGGGTGTCAGGACCAGCCCTGTCCTGTATAGTACTGCTTCCAGATCTAGTCATGGAAGGATAGGGAGGAAGTAAATGTACCCAGATTAGGGAAGAATAGATGAGTCTGTTCCTGGCCTGTGTCACAGCTTTTGCATGTATTTCTCCATATGCCCATAGAACCCTTTTTTTTTAGTCTGCAAACTTTAAAAAGATGGACATTCACATTAAAAACATATTTTTCTCTAAAATACACTTTTTAGATGCATTTCAATGCATTCATTCAGTTAATGTTAGTATAATGTAATTTATATTATAATTGCTTTTATTTATTGTTGTAAGCCGCCCCGAGGCTTTGGCGAATGGGGCGGCATAAAAATGTTTTAATAAATAAATAAATAAATAAATAAATAAAATAAAAATATACCAGAGAGTTTGGAGAATTGTGAAAGCAGCTGCTTTTGGATCTGCATATTAATCCAGGAAATGCAAATCTGGTTGGTTTGCATAAAATGCAAATTGAATGAGCAGTTAGAAGTGTAGCATCTTTAAAGGAAACTATTGTCCTTTTCTGGCCAAGTTGGAGGCTTGGACCTTCTCCAGGGCAGAATCTTCCCCAGCCCACAGTCTGTCTAGCCTTAAGTAGGTATGTGTCCCCAGACTGACTGGGGTGCTCATGGAACATCTTTCATCTTCAGGAACCAGCAGATACTTCACTGGCGCTTTTGCTGTGGTGCTTCAGTTCTACTTCGGGGCTATGATGCTTTGATTAGGCATTTCAAACAATCCTGACAGCCACCATTTTCTCATGGATTGTTTGGACCAACACAGGCTCTATCCTTGAAAGCACCTGATGCCCTGCTGACCTACTACGGACCTCTCAGGCTTGTATAGATGCCCTTGCATACCATACATGCAAGGATGACTCACAATTCATCAAGGGCCAGTACTACAACAGTATGGTGGCATGAAAGGCTCCATCCCACCAGTTACACAAAATGCATGTGATCAGGAACTTCTGCATAGCTAATGGCACAGAAATCTGCCCTTTATGAGAGACATACATTGTGCAAAGGTATTGTCTCTTCATTTGTAGGTTTTTGAATGGTAGAGAAAGAGCAGTTTTCACAGTTCCACCACTATTTTAGTGCCAGCTAAATGGTATGTCAGGGCAGAGTTGTCAGTAGTTATGTGTGAAATGTTAGGATATGGATTTAGAACAAAATTATTTGAATACCTTTGTACAAATTTATGAGTGGCTACACTGTGTACAATTTTGATAATTCCATCTGAAATATACAGTAGAGAGAAAGTGTAGAGGGGATTTAGGGCACCTTCCTTATGAACGAAAATATTTGGGGATTTTCAGTTTAGAAAAATTTTATTGGAATGGTAGAAGTTTATAAAATTATGAGTTATGTGGAGAGGGTCGACAGAACTTTTTCTCCCTCCCCCAAAAGAATAGAACTGGGATCACACATTGTGGGTAGCAGTAGATTCAGATCAGACAACAGCAATTGCTTCATGCATTTGATAATTTTTGGAATTTGCTGCCACAGACTGATTTGGTAAAAATTTACCAAGAGAGAATGAGAATTATAGAGAGTTATACACATTCATAGGGGTTAGGAGTAGTAACAGTTGTTAACTATGCCAGCTGTTGGGAACCTCCTTCAGAGGCAGTTGCTAGTGGCCAAACAGTGGTGGAAACATGTTGCCTTCTTACCCTGCTTCTTGGCTTTCAGGAACAACGGATTAAACATTAGAAAGTTATGCTAGGTAGATCTAACCTAGTATTGCTCTTAAGCAGTCGGTGTGAGCTTAAGTGGACTCTGGGGGATGGTGGAGGACAGGAAGGCCTGGAGGAAAGTTGCCCATGGGGTCGCGATGGGTCGGACACGACTTCGCGACTAGCAACAACAACAAATTGATGAACAGCAAATATTTGCCATGTTTGAGAGAATCTGTATTCCCATCTGTATTTTGTGCTTTCCTTCCTGTGAAGGTGGGTGGCTGTTATTTTCCATGCTATATTTGATTCCGACTTACCTGTTTTTGTTGTTGTTCCAGGCAGTTGCTATCTTGACTGAACTGATTAGAGAAAACTTCAGAAACAGCAAACTAAAACAGTGTCTTTTACCTACACTTGGAGAGTTGCTTTATCTTGTGGCTAATCTGGTAAGATATAAACCATTCTATATGTATCTTTCATTGCATATGCATGTACCAGGGGCATGAACAATGGTGAGCCTGGGCCAGGATGTCAGGGGATGGGGTGTGGGTGCCCATGTGGGTGGGGTTACTGGTTGAATGTGCTCTCTCACATGTTTATGCATTCCATTCTCATGCACACATCCTTTCCAGTTCCCCTATGTGCATTGTGGAGGGGGGGGGGAATTTTTTCTACTCAGTTTTGAGAGAGGCTCTCTTTCTCACTGTTAACCAGGGAAAACAGCTTATCTCTAATCAGCAGTTGGATCAACACTGGGGCAGAGAACATGGACAGACTTTGCAAGGGGGTGGGGTGGGAATAGGGAAACAGCTTGGTAGGTCAAAGTTAGACCATGGACACAGAGTTCCGTGTGCCTGGCATAATCTGTAAATTAATTCTTGAGTCATTAGACTCCTTGGACACATAATAATAATATGTTAGTGATTCCTGCTTTGATCATAGAATCATATAGTTGGGAGGGTCCTGAAAGGCAATTAGGGCCTTGAAAAGTGTTTTATAATTTGTCATTAATGAGGGTTCACAAAGCTACACTACCTGGTGATTTACTAAAAATAAGTAACACCTATTTTTCTGGTAGGAAAAGAATCATGTCTTTGTTCATAGATCTCTTTAGTGTCAAACTACCCATTGCTAGGTTTTAGTTGATAATAAAACATGTAAACGCAATTGGCAAAGAATAGAGAAAGAAAGTAGAAGTTGTTGGAAAAAAGCATTAAGGAACACATATTCTTCATTGAACATGCAGTGGGAGTTGAAACATATTTAACATTTCTTCAAACTGAATCTTGGTTGTCATTTCTAATTTTCTCTTATTAAAGTGCTTACAGTGCCTTGCAGAAGTATTGATTCCCTGTAGACTTTTCCACACCTTGCTGTTTTTACAACCTGCAAATGAAATCAATTTAATTGGTACTGTTACTGCTTGATGTACACTAACAGTATAAAAGTGCAAAAATATTTTTGTTGTGGCGCAAAAGTTAAGTGAACAGAAACAAACTGGCCATTGTTGGTTGCACAAGCAAAGATCCTTCTACCAAGTATTGATTGAGCCCCTTAGCCAATGCTTGGTAAAAGCACCTTTGGCAACAATTACACTTGTGAGTCTTCTTGGGAAAGTATCTGTCAGCTTTGCACATCTGGATCCCACAGTGTTTGCTCATTCTTTCTGGTGAAATTGTCCCAGCCCTGTGGATTTGGATGGGGCTGCTGGTGAACAGCAACTTTCTAGTCTTGCTACAGATGCTCAGTTGGAGTGATGCTTGAGCGCTGACTGGGCCATTCCAGGACATTCATTTTCTTGTTTTTGGGCTTCCCAGTGGCATCAAGGTGGCTGCTGTGGAAACAGAGTACTGTACTAAATGGAGTTCTGGTTAGGTCCAGAGCAGATCTTCTTACATTATGTTCTTAATTAAGTGAACGGATAAGGTACAAAGCCACGGAACATTCTTTGCCAACATTCTCTTGCTTATGTAACTGTCCTAGCAGGGCACAGAATATCTTCCAGGGTTTATTGCAAAGAATATGTGAACAAAAATGTGCCTTCAAAGAATAGCAGAAACAGAAGAGAATAGTGAATAAACTATAATAAGGGGAGAAGTTACAGAAGTGTAATTTGAAGGATGAGTTGGAGGAGAAGAAAGATTGGAGAATAAGGAAATGAGCATTTTGTGAGACTAGGACCTAGGTCTTGGGGAAAACCCCCTCAAACAGTTATGTGTGGTCTGTTGTCACAAGTGGGTAATCAGAGAAATGGTACTCAACACATGCCAGCACGAACTGGGGATTAGAACGAGTCATGGTTTGATTGTGCAAACTAGCCCATTTGGAGGCCTCTGGTGCTGATAAATTTTATGTTTGTGAGAATTTTAAAAAAGCTGATTCATTTTTTATTTATTTATTAGTTTTATATCCAACCTTTTCTCTTTTTTAAAGAATTCAGAGCAGCTTACACCATTCTCCTCCTTCTGTTCACAGACTTACCCCACAACACCCTGTGATGTGTGTTGGGCCGAGAGTCCGTGTAACACCCAAAGTCACCCAGTTGGTTCCATGACTAAGCAGGGACTGGAACCATGATCACCCAAGGCCATTCACCACACTGACTCCTAGGAGTGAATTATAGGAGTGAATTCTCTTACATTCATATACACCTTCAATTGGAAGTCCTATTATTTCCTTAACATGCTTTTTCAGAATGTTGGAATTTGTTTATATGGCCACGCAATAGTCATCAGTAAAATTGCAGGATTTTTTTTCCTGGTGATAATTTAAATTGCTTTCCTTTAACATAAATGGCTTCAGATGGAAGCAAAACCTAAAAGATGTGGTTGCTACATCCCTGGTGACTTACCCATTAACTTCAGTGTCTAGAAGTTTTTAATGTTACTGTTTTAGTTTTGTAGTCAGTTTCTAAGGTCATTAAGAAACAGCTCAGGGCATTAAGGCTGAATAAAAATGAAGTAATATGAATACAAAGTAACTGCATTTATATTTTAAAAATATTTTATTATGTGCCAAATATTCACCTACCACCCCCCTACACACCCCTATTACTGAAATACAATTTGAAGAAATCAAGTTCAAACAGTTTAGTTTGTTTTAGTCCTCCAAGTCCCGTACTATCAGAAGAGGGATTCCCACAAGGGATCCCTTATAGGAATGGGCCTTGAAAGCTCCAGCTCAGGGTCTCATGTATCTGACACCCAGGTGGTAGGGGGGCATATTGGTACATACTGATTCAGCCTGAATATCCTTCCTCTCCTTACTTTAGTCCAGCTTATGGGCTGGGGCAGAGAACCAGCCAGGAATTGGGTTGCCTGGTAATGAAATTCATGCTGTATGCCACACCAAAATCCATAAGCTGCAATCTGTACAAGTTGTAGCTTTTTAGAATCCATTTCTGGCTCCATGTGGTTGCTCCTCCCCCACTTTCTTGCATTATATATGCTACTACCTAAGGTATAGTTATTAAATATAAATCATTTGAGATCTAGTTTTCTGGTTATGTGCAGTGGCCATGCTTCCTGGTCTGTTGTTTTAGAGCAGTTTAAGTCTCATGTTTAATTGTGAAGGAATTTACTATTGCTCAAACAGACCTTTTTCCTTTAATGGCATGGCAGATCTATTTTGTTGACTGAGCAACCTAACACTGAAAATTAGAAAAGGTGCAAGTAATTGTCTTGGGTTAGGGCAGGAATGAAATCTAAAAAAAATATCCTATACTGAAATGTTTAAGAGTACAAATACTCATGATATCTCATCTGAAAATGTATATTTTGTATATTTTTAAAAAACCTGACAGAACAGGTAATTTGTGTTACCATATATACAAAAGCATATATAATAAAAGCATTTTGTAATGGTATCTGCCATGCCATTAAAGGAATAATTTAAAAAAATCAGGAAGCTTCATTGAAGGTGTGTGTGTGTGTTGTAGTAAAGAGTTAGCACAATCCATTTCATTTCTGTGTGTCTTCTACATCATTTACAGGGAGGGAAAAACGAGCACCCCAGAGAGTGCTGGGTCCTTCCTTCAGCTGCTTACACTGTGCTAATGAGGTGCCTTCGGGAAGGGGTAAGGTTCTTTTTGTTGTTCTCAGTAGAATTTCTCCATTGTAATAACCCTTTAGGCATTGTGTGAGGATTGTAGCCTGCAGCAGTGCAGTGCCTTATCAACCAAGGTTTGCTCCTGAATTTAAATAATCATAAGACCATGACCCATAGAAGAACAAAGCAATAAATCAACCAGTAAAGTGCCCAATATTTATACATTATTATTTGGTTTTCAAAATGGTTAATTTTCAAAGGCATTAGTGGTTAAAGTATTATTCAAGGTACAGAATTCTTAAAAGGAATGGGTTCACAAATAATACAGTTTCTGTCATATTGTGCAACTGTATGTTTCTGTGTTATTTTCCAAGAGATGTGCTTTAGTTGATGTACCATTCATATGATATCAGTTGTCACCTCCTAAGGATATCATATTTGGACTGTCCCAATGTAGAAAATGCTAAATTAGGTTTCCTATTCTATAAATTTCATTTGAGATAATTTCCTTGATTTAAAATCAAGGACCACAAGCTTTTCTTTTTTTGTAAAATGTAAAAGAAAGGCTTAATGCCTGATTGAAAGTAGCATTTACTATTTACCTGAAGTCAATTGATATTTCTGATGCCCAAGGCAAACCTGAAGGCTTAAAATGCTCCTTACAAGTGAAGATCAACAAAATAAAAAATATATATAAAAAACAAGGCTACCCTTTTCATTTATATTTTTGACCTTTACCATTTTTATTACTGAAAGAAAATCCTCTGCATTCATGACTCTCAAAATAAAGAAGAGAAAGTATACTCGTAATATCTCTGGAATCTGTCATGGGTTCAGATAGTTCAGTTCCTTTTATTTTACAGCTTGGAAGAATTAACAACAAAATGGAATTAAACATTCAACACTGGCATGGAAAGCTAAATGTATTGATAATTATATTAGATATATCTGTATACAACTGGGAAAATGGATTTGGCTCAAAGATCTCTGAAAAGGATTTAGTTGTTGTTTGAAAAGTTCAAATCAGAAATGCAACATTGTTGTAAACAAGAACATGGGTGTCATTTTTCTTATAATGCTAACAAAAACACTGCATATGTGACAGGAAATAGTAATGCTAACCACCAGCAGGGCATCAGGTATAAGGTTGCCAAATAGTGATTACCATCTTTTGGGGAAGGCTACAAGTGGGAGGGTAATCATAAGAGAATTATTTAAAAAATGAAAAGCATGGCTGATGAAAAAAACTGAACAAACTGAAGTTGGGGCCTAACAATGAGTTTACAAATTTGTAAGCTACCCAGGAAAACTTCAGGTTATGGGGTGGCATAGAAATGAAATGAAACAAACAAATATTTGCTGTCTAAGGAAAAGTAACTAATATTGTAACAGAGCAGCAAAGAAAGTGACAACAATGAATTTAAGTTGTAGTTTGTCAAATATAAATCAATATTAAAGTAAAATGTTCTTCTATTTACAACAGTAAGGGTATGATCTCATGTTGGTTGTGGAATGCTGTAAGCTAGGGGTGTCCAACCCACAGCCCGCATGTGGCCCAGGATGGCTATGAATGTGGCCCAATGCAAAATTGTAAACTTACCTAAAACATTATGAGTTTTTTTTGCAATTTTTTTTGTAACTCGATTGCACAGTTCACGAGTGTGAACTTTGAAGAAGACAACATCATGCCACAATGTCACATAAAATAAATGTACATATGCTCTCACTCTCTGTATGCATTTGTGGCTTCAGTTTTACAGTGGTGTGTGGCTTCCAGTGTGTTATCTTCCAAGAGCAGATAGTCAAATGGACACCATCAGACATTACATGTGCTCATGGTGATTGGCGAGTGAAACACAGCAATTATCAACAATATTTCTGAGGACCTGAGGCGCACCGCTGAGCCGGAGGCCAGCTGATGCTGCTCCCGCGGCCACCACTGTGCCACCCCAGGGACAGAGGACGCCAGGGCCACGCCAGGGCCGCCGCCGACGTTGCGGAGGAGGGCGCCGCCATCTCCATGCTGAGACTGGTCGGATCAGAGCGGCTCAGGACTTCATGGCCTCCATGACGGCCATGGGGCTGTCTCAACATGTCACAGGCTCGACCCGTGAACGTGGACACACTCTGGACCTGGTTTTCTCGACAGGGCAGGAAGAGGGTGGTCTGAGAGTGAGGAATTTATGTCTGACACCCCTGTCATTGTCAGATCACTTCCTCGTGAGGTTTGTGCTCGAGAGCGGCCTCTCCCTCTGTAAGGGTGCAGACCCGATTGTGTGGGTCCACCTCTGGAGCTGGATGGATCCGGACGGATTCCTGAAGGCCCTGGGGGAGTTTCTGGCTGACAAGACTGGTGCTCCTTTTGAGGCTCTGGTCGAACTATGGAATGGGGAGATGACTTGGGCTATTGACACGATCGCTCCTAAGCGTCCTCTCCTGCCAGGCAGAGCCCACTCTTCCTCTTGGTATACATCTGAATTGCGGGCGATGAAGCAGGCCGGGAGACAGCTAGAGCATAGGTGAAGGAGATCACGGGATGAATCTGACCGAATTCATCGGGCCTATGCTGTGGTGGTGAGGGCGGTGAAAAAGAAATTCTTCTCCATTTCCATTGCCTCCTCAAAATGTCGTCTGGCGGAGCTTTTTCGGGTGGTACAAGGGCTGGTTCGTCCTGGCCCTAAGAAAGATCTGGTTCCACCCTCGAAGGCCCACTGTGACGACTTTGCCAGGCATTTCAGGGAGAAAATCACTCAGATTCGTCATGAGCTAGACTCTACTAGTGATTCAGAGGCTTCTGGGGAGATACCAATGTCACTGTCTGGTCCAAAATTAATGGATGAATTTCAGTTATTGCGCCCTGATGATGTGGACAACGTGCTTGGACGAGTACATCCTACCACTTGCCTATTGGACCCTTTCCCATCTTGGTTAATTAACAACACCAAGCACGGGATTGGGACCTGGATCTTGGAAGTGGTTAATGCTTCTCTGAGGGAGGGTTGGGTGCCTGCCCCTTTAAAGGAGGCGGTAGTCCGACCGGTCCTGAAGAAAGCGTCACTGGATCCAGAGATGGCCACTAATTATAGACCAGTGGCCAACATCCCGTTTCTGGGCAAGGTGTTGGAGCGGGTGGTGGCGGTACAACTCCAAGCACTCTTGATTGAAACTGATTATCTGGATCCATTTCAGTCCGGCTTCAGACCCGGATACGGTACTGAATCTGCCTTGGTCGCCCTGTACGATGACCTGTGCAGGGAGAAGGACAGGGGAGTGCATCCCTGTTGGTTCTTCTGGACCTCTCAGCGGCTTTCGATACCATCGACCATGGTATCCTTCTGGACAGGCTAGCGGGATTGGGGGTTGGAGGCACTGCTTTGCAGTGGTTCCGCTCCTATCTCAATGGCCGATTCCAGAAGGTGGTGTTGGGGAACTATGGTTCTGCGCCATGGCAGCTATGCCATGGAGTACCGCAGGGATCCATTTTGTCCCCTTTGCTATTTAACGTCTACATGAAACCGCTGGGAGAGGGCATCAGGAGGTGTGGGCTGCGGAATCATCAGTACGCTGATGATACCCAGCTCTACCTCTTGTTCTCCACCAATCCAGGTGAGGCAGTGACTGTGCTGAACCGATGCCTGGCTGAGGTAATGGACTGGATGAGGGCCAATAAACTGAAGCTCAATCCAGACAAGACGGAGGTCCTGTTGGTTGGCGGATCGGGCTTCGGGGAAGGTGAATTGAACCTAGTCCTGAACGGGGTTGCACTTCCTCTTAGGGACAAGGTCTGCTGCTTGGGAGTGCTCCTCGACCCAGAGCTTTCACTGGAAGCTCAGGTGACAGCGGTGGTGAGGAGCGCTTTCTTTCAATTTCAGCTGATCCATCAGCTGCGCCCCTACCTGGAGAACAACTGCCTGGCGACAGTGACACACGCGTTGGTGACTTCCCGACTTGACTTCTGTAATGCGCTCTACGTGGGGCTGCCCTTGAAGATGGTCCAGATACTTCAATTGGTTCAAAATAGAGCTGCCAGGCTGCTGACGGGGACTGGGCGTTATGTTCACATGACTCCAGTTCTTTGTCAGCTTCACTGGCTTCCCATTAAAGTCCGGGCCCAATTCAAGGTGTTGGTTATGACCTATAAAGCCCTTAACGGCTTGGGTCCTGGTTACCTGAAGGAGCACTTACGTCCATATGTGCCCACCCGCCCCTTGAGATCAGCGGAAGAGGCCCTTCTCCAGGAACCCTCCATGAAGGAAATTAGGAGGGTAAGTACTCGGAGGAGGACTTTCTCTGCGGTGGCGCCCAATCTATGGAATACGCTCCCCAGAGAGGTCCGCCTGGCGCCGTCGTTATTTGTTTTTCGGCGCCAGGCAAAGACCTTTTTATTCAAACGTTATTTTAATTGTTACTATTATTTATTCATTTTATTCTTTGGCCAGGGCAACTTAATTTATACTGTTAAATTATATTGTTTTATATTATGTTATTTATTTATGATTGTGAGCCGCCCCGAGGCTTCGGCAAATGGGGCAGCATAGAAGTTCCCTAAATAAATAAATAAATAAATATTTCATCCCACCGTTGCAAACAATTTTATACATTTTGACACGTTGACTAAATACAGTCCCATGAACAGCAAAAAATACTCAGCCCAGCTTTTTGATTTGATACAAGAATTTTAAAACAGATTTCAAGATTTCTGGGAAAATCTGTGACTCCATTTTCAGTCAACATAAATATGTTACCTGCCAATTTTCAAATGGAATGCATAGAGCTGCAATCTGACATTCAACTTAAAGAAAAAAATGATCATAGACTTCTATAGTTCCTATCTTCCCTGAGATAAATATCCCACGCTTCACAATCACACCTTATTCACGTCTTTGCTTTTTGGCAGCACCTACATTTGTGAGCAACTAAGAGTAAAATTAGAACCAAAATATCTGATGAGCACCTTGAGAACTCACTGAGAATTTCAACTATTTCCATCGAACCATATTCGTATATTGATGCTTTAGCTTCTCAGATACAACGTCAAATACACACTAGTTTTATGTTGCCCTCTCTTCTGCTTGACAATTTTAAAAGACTCTCCAAATGGGGTGCTGCATATAGGGTTATTATGTGAGGATTTTTTTGCCTTATTTGTGGTGGTGGGTATCACAAAAATTATGCACAGACTTTTTGTTAGTGTTTGCATATTTAATGTGAGGCCCAAGACAAATTTTCTTCTTCCAATGTGGCCCAGAGAAGCCAAAAGGTTGGACACCCCTGCTGTAAGCTGTAGGACTTTTTCTGCCTAAATAAGTGCTCAAGGAAATTAGTCATCTTGTAAATTGTTCATTTTCTAAGAAACTGAACAATCTGTCAGGTTTGAGTCATTACGTTTGTCAGTGAAAAGTGTTAGACTAAGATGATCCTTGAAGTTCTTTCAAACTCTTACTTGGTTTGATTCCAATCATTAAGTGGCAAAGTACATAAATATCATTGTTCAGATTCTATCTAGCCAGTACCATTGGATTCTTAATAGAATAGTGTACCAAGAAATAGTTCGATGAAAAATACATACAAAGTTGTTCATTCCAAATGCTAAAACATATGAGAGAAGCTTCTAAACTGTAACTTGACCACAAGATGAAAATCTGTTTTGCCTTTTAAGTTATTGCTTTCAGAGGCAACATATCCCTGAACTGTAATGGTTTCATTTGGGATTTTGAAAGAAAATTAGGTTGTGAGTCTTACATTATTTTATGTGAAAATGTCACCAGAGAACTGCAAACAGAGGAACTGGGTCTTCATAGTTGATTGTAGGTATCCTTAGGAATACTTTATCCCACTTTGACTCACTGTCACTCACTTGTGGACCGTCGGACAAGAAAGCGCTCCAAATATTGATACTGGGAGCCCTGATCCATGAATTACGTAAAATCAAGAGTGTAAACTGAGCTAGTCAGATTTGCAGGATACACACAATTATTCAAGATGGTGAACACTCAAACACTTCAGAATAATCCCATAATGAATAGGTAAATTGGTGAATTGGTAAATGAGATCTAAAAAAGAGTGTGAAGTGATGTAAACTGGGCAAAAACTGAGATCTGAACTTGCTGTGATTAACTAGGAAAGAGATCTTGGGCTTTTGGTAACTCAGCAAAGACCTCAACTTTATGATCAACAGCAGAGGCAAAAAAGCAAAATTCTTGATAGAGTTTATACAGAAAAAAATTAAAAATAACAGTATCCTTAACTGTAACTGTAATGTAGCAATGTTGACCATAAGAAATATTCCTGTTTCCTTATTTTTATTCATGTATTTATTATTTGATTTCTGTACTGCCTGATATGATAGCTGAGGCTCATTGGGCGATTCACACAGCACATTAAAAATACAATATAAAATTGAATTACTTTCATACTTTTAGTAGGCCAGCACAAAGGTAGCAACATTTCAAGATAATTAGGAAAGATATTGCAAAAAGCCTAGGTGAGGTGGGGGCAGGAATGACTGGACATTGGAGTCCTGATATTTTTATGATGATATCGAGGAAGAAGATTTGCAAAGGTCCAAATTTCTCTGTATCAGGTGGGGTGAGGATATCAGGTTTCAATGCCCGGAGGACCATTGAGAACAAGAGAGTAGCAGCTAATTAGAATCTCATACATTCTGGTGCTGCCATCTCAGGAAGGGTATTGTGCTGTTGCAATCATGGAGTTCATGGGCTTGGATTGCTTTTCCAATGAGGAAATACTGAAGGACAGCTTTGGACTTTTTAATTCTCAAAAAAGATGACTAATGGAGGTGAGAGCATGATAGACCTTAATAAAATTAGGCATGTCCAGGGAGAGAGCGAGCTTTGCTCTCTCTCATAAGGAAAATCACCCAATGAAATTGTTGGACAATGTATTCAGAGCAGACAAAAGCAAGAAATACATGTTTTTCCAACAACACATATTTGACTCATGGAATTCCCTGCCGCAAGATGCAATTGTGGAGGCTAGCTTTAGAAGTGGATGTGACAAATTCATGAAACCAGTTTGAAGGCATTCTTGTAGCAACTTTCCCCCACTTTTCCTTGAGGTTGGAACCAATTCTGTATTCCAAACTACAGTGAAAAATGTGGAGATAATGTCTTATGAAATAGGGGCAGACAGTGAAATCCAGAGCTCTGCTAGTTACGTAGAGATTCTTAAATCGTTCAACCGATGGGCATCTTTTTTTACTATTTTGAACATTCCAGGTTCCACTGATACCAACAAATATTTAGCATCTCCTAACTTTTATTGTATTAGTATAACATTATTGGAAATGCTGGGGGGCAACCTGTTGTGTAGTTTATCACTCTCTGGTTTAACAATAGTTTGCCAGCTGTACTGGATGAATTAAAAGCGTGATGAAAGCTATGGAATAATTTTAAGTAATTATCATAGCTTATGTGTTCACAGTATGACAAAAGGAGTCCTTCAGTATAAGAGGCCAAATATTAGTTTAGTTCAGGCTTCCTTTCCAGAGAGCTAATTAAGCAGAAAATGGCACAATCTTCCTGCTTATACACTCTTTGATAATAGATCCCAGAGGGGCTTAAGTGAGCCCATCTCAGGTGGCAGCAAATTGAATTAGTTTGACAGCCTCATTGAGTTTATAGAACACTGAGACAATCCATGACCCTTTTTCAGCCAAGATGCTATGGTTATCTGGCCCAGGGCATGCTTCACCTCATTACTGGCTGCCATATGCAAGCTAAAGGAAACCTTAAGAGACGCATTTGATTGTACATAGCCAGAATCACTGCTGTGTATTCTTTGAGATTTGTTACTATTCATGATAGTTATCTGTTGCGTTTATATTTTGGATTTGGTTTGCCTAGAATATATTTCTGATTAGTGGTAAGTCTGAAGTAAGATTGCAGTCTTTACATACTCATTATACTTAAATTAAGAGCCATTTGTGATTTTATGTTTAGTGTGCAGAAATCACTATATGTTGAAACAGAAATTGCTATTGGAGATGAAAACCCTATCTAGTACCCTATCTGCACTTTTTGCCGTAAAATCATCTGAGAAATAATTTTCTAACTACTTAAAGGTGCCACATTTTATGTGGTGTTCACATTTTATAATGAAACATGTATTTTACCCAAAGAAACTTTGATGTTAAATGTTTCAATCTAGATTATTCTGCTGCTGTTATTTCTGATATTGATAAACTTATCAGCTAAAATAAGCATGAAATAAATATTAAGCTAAATATTTGGATTATTTCACCAAAGCTTTTATGTGATTTAAATGCTAAAAATTTTTTAAACATACAATCAAATTGTTAAAGCTGTTTCTTTGATTTTGTGTGTGATATGTGCGCATTGTGGTGTGGTCTCGTGTTTAGTCTCATAACCTTAGTCAGGCTGACAGAGATGTAGGGCAGCTTTGTATGACATCCTTAACTCCTTGGGATTTAAGCAATGCACTGTTGCTAAAATTTTCAAGGGGCTTTTGTGTGTCAGGCAGATGTGGCGTACTATGCTGCTTTCTCCCTCAATCCTCCTGCTAGTGTCCCAGATGACATTGCAGGGGCACTGCGTGGAGCAAGGATTATAGCCACAGAAAGTGTCATCTGCTTCCCTGCCCTACACTCCTCCTGATATGCCAGGAGAGTGGAATCTTGCTCTCCAGGTATTTGCAGGATCTTGAGGCAGGGAAGAGGAAATGAGGGGAGCGTGAATGTTCTGCTGGCTTCTGGGAAGATGTAGCGGAAGGTGCTGCTATTGTCCTGCCATTACTGCTGTGGGCAGAGGCATCTCGGCTGCATCTCCCTGGGAGGAGGCCTAGCTAAATGTACTGACTGTGCCAGTGCGATATACAGTCCTATATCCTCTCTCAATGCAGTACCCACAGGTGCCACACCAAGCTGGAGGAAGGGGAGCTTGTATCTGCTGTGTGCCCCTTCTAAAACCTAAGTGAGGCTTGGAAAGGTGGCAAGTGCAGGTACGTGGGTTTTATTCTAAGGAGCCTGGGAAAAAAGCAGCCCCCTGCTAGCCAGGCAATTGCATTGACCATCTTGAGGAAACTCAGACATTTTTCCCAGGTGCATTTTCCCATGCAGTGCATTTCTGGAGGAACAGAGGAAGAAGGGTGTACTTATTTTTTAAAATAAGTCTTTCACCCATCAAAGTGAATATCTTTTTTTGGGGGGGTTCCCAAGTATGGGGGAGTACAAGCAATCCTTAAGTGGAAGTGGCTGAACAAGTGAGTTCTCTTGAATAAAATCCTTTTTTCCATACAGACTTGTTTAGAGACACTGAAGGTTAAGGAAGAGGATTTAAAAAAACAACCCAAAGATGCAGTGAAGAGGAAGTGGTGCTGATGTGTACTGCAATCACATAATCAACCTCTTTTCCTTGACAACAGAAATTTCACACAAAGCACAGGGGTTTGGACCTAACCGTGTGATAAAATAAAATTACATAAAATATTGAATTAATCATGGTTGAAGAAAAATCATGATCTGGGGATTTTCCATATATGCACCTTCCCTATAGCTATCAATAATAATTATTATACACTTTTTATTTTTAAGTTTTCACAAGTTATACTTAATATTCCCTTTTTTCTTTCTAGGAAGAACGTGTTGTAAACCATATGGCTGCAAAGATTGTTGAAAATGTATGCTCCACTTCTTCTTTGCATGCTCAAGGATTTATTACTGGAGAAATTGGACCTATATTATGGTATCTCTTTATGCATTCAACCATTGATTCTTTGAGAATAACTGCTATTTCGGTAAGAAGGGGTGTAGGTTGTTTGTTTACTTTTTTTTAATAAAGTTCACTAATTGTTCCAAATAGTCATGTACAATGATATTGGATTTATCACCTGTTAGAAAGAAAGCTTCCATAATTCCTGTCCCCTGCCAGACTATTGCCAGCAAAGCAAGAGGTGATTTTCACTTCTATATCCTTCCCTTTTGAAAATATCCCTCAGATTGGCCTCTGAACTGATACAGAAGAGCTGTGCCATAGTATTTTGCTGATACTAGACTTTCTCCTCTACTCTCAACCTTTGGAATGTCTATTCCAAGGACACTTCTGTAGTCTCAGAAAGCAGAGGTCCTGGTTCTTTTCATGGCTACTGTGGGGGATTTGGGGAATTTAATCTTGAACCCCTCCACCCCAAAAGATAGGAGCATCTATTGCTTCAGGAGGGCAAATTGGAAAAACCTCTCTCGGATGCTCTTCAGGGATCTTAGTATTATATCCATAGGTGGGTTGATTTGTTTTTTAAATCTATGTTATGAGAGACATACAGATATATTTGACATAATTCTTCCTAGCACATCAGTCTGAATAGAACTCTCTCTCTCTCTCTCTCTCTCTCTCTCTCTCTCTCTCTCTCTCTCTCTCTCTCTCTCTCTCTCTGGCCAATATAAAATTCTTATGGGCAGTGTGCAATTGTTAATGTAAATTACATTGTGTGCAATGTCAATAGTGTTAGCCAACATGGTGAGATTCCCTGAGAAACCTGTCACAGCAGCTAACACTATGTTTCAGAATTCCCTTAGTCCTATGTTGTGTTATTTACATTAGCACTGATGTTTAATTGGATGCTCTTCCATGTTTTCAATAAAATAATAATTTTAACTGTATAGTTTCAATCATAAACAGTTCTCTCTGGTTAAAAGACATTATTCAGAAAAAAAAAGTAAATATGGTCCCCTATACCTGTAGTAGAGCACTGTGTCAATTGTATTTTTCATTATTACTTTAATATTTTGTCTTTCTGCTTAGTCATTTTCATAGAAATACCTCACAGGGTTGTTGTGGGGATAAGATTTAGAGCAGGAGGAGAATTATGTAAACCAATTTGGGTTCTTTAAAAAAAAAGAAAAAGGCAGGCTATAACACTAATAAATAAATGCACTTTTCAGTGACAATCTCATAGAGAGAAAAAGAACTATCACAATGACCAGTGCAAAGAACTAGAGAACAACAAAAGAAAAAAAATGAAAGACCTCTTCCAGAAGATTCAGTCAGTCAAAAGGGAATTCAAACTTAGATTAGGAATGCTGCAAAACCAGCACAGGAACATACTATCAGAGCAGGAAAAAATAAAGAGAAGTTGGAAATAATATACGGAAGAATTCTACAGAAGAAATAGGAAGACAGACAAAGGAAGACCTGTGAGGAAGACCTTGCAGTATTAGAAAATGCAGTGAAAGCTGCTCTGCAAGCACATAGAAGAAATAAAGCACACTGAGTAGAGACTAGTAGGGCTATTTCAAGCTGCAGAGCCTGAATCATTCAAAATTCCAGCAAGAATATGTCAATAAATATTGAAAACAAAGCAATGGCCTACAGACTGGAAAGGTTCATTATACATTGCCGTCCCAAAGAAAGGAGATGCAAAGGAGTGCAGCACCTGTAGGAGCATTACAGTAATTTCCTATGCAAGCAAAATGATGTTCAAGGTGTTGCAAGAAATAATTTTAATCCTCTATAGAGTGAAAAATGACTGACGTTCAATCTGGATTCCGAAAAGCAAGAAACACCCAAGATCATACAGCAATAGATATTGACTACTGGAGGGCACCAAAAGGTTTTAGACTTTGTGGTCTATATTGACTTTATAGACTATACCCTTGACTGTGTGGATCATAAGGTGCTATTAATGTTTCAGGTAGAGATGGTTGTTTGTCAGGACTTGAGTGTCCTGGGTGTCTTGTACCTGTATTGTGTACAAGAAGCTACTGTTTGGACAGAATATGGAGGGATGAAATGCTTTCCTATAGGCAAATGCATCAGACAAGGATGTATTTTATCTATCTGTTACATCTCTGTCTGGAATATATCTTAAAGCTGGATCAGAAGAAGCAGGAGTGAAAATTGGTGGAAGATATATCAATAATATAAAATATGCAAATTACTGGTGGAAGGCAACAGTGACTTGAACCATCTCCTGATGAAGGTGAAAGTGCAGTAGCTGAACTTTAATAAAACAAAAATCATGACTACAGAAGAAACACAGAACTTTGCTGTCAAGAATGGAAAAATTGTGAAAGTTTGGATACGTTGGCCTAATTATCATTTCCAAGGGAGACTGCAGCCAAGAAATTCCTAAAAATCTAAGACTTGGACGGGCAGCAATGAAGAGATGAGAAAAGATTATCAAGTGTAAGGATATTTCACCAAGGCCAATAACTATGTATGTGTTTGAAAGCTGGACAGTGAAGTGAGCTGAAAGGAAGAAAATTAAACATTTTGAAACATGGTGCTAGAGGAGAGCTTTGTGAATACCCTGGACTGGCATAAACCTAAATAAGTGTGTCCTAGAATAAGAGTTGAAATCACAGGGAGTTAAATGAATAAATTCTTGCATCTTTTTCTTTATTTTCAAGATTAAAGCTGTGTAGTTAAATAAGCAATTATTTAATATTCTCAATATGCATTTCAAGTTTGCAAAATGTTACGATTTTAAGGGTGCAATCTTATCACAGTGCCCATAAGACCCTGAAGTCAAAAACTTACAGGCATCCTATGTAGAGTGGGACAAGTGTTAGATGTGACCTTTGCTGCTCTTATTCTCCCATCTTGAATTTTCTGCTAAATGTGCTCTTTGACCTAGTTTGCTGAAATACTGTGGAAGAAGAGGGAAGGATGCTGGAGTAGCTGCAGCATACCTCATGTCCTAGCCCCTAAATCTCCTTCCCCCACCACTTCTCCAAACACTTAATTTCTCTCTTTTCCAAGTCTGTTTTTCTGACCTTGGGGACTTGTCATTGTAGAAACAGAAGGGGATCTGGAGCTCCAGTTCCAGCTTCAGGCTGGAGCTCTATCTTTGACCTAGGATCTGGGAATCCAGAATATCCTGTTGCCCCTCAGATGCTGACTATGGGCCATAGGATTGTTCCATTTATTTGTTTGAACAGGGAATTACGAGAAGGATCAGGTGATGTTGTTCAAAATAGGTTTATTCTCTTTCTTAATGCCATGAAAATGTTGACACATCAGACTCTGTGTGTTGTACATTGTATGCTGAATTTTTGAAAAACCACTATTATCATATAATGGATAATTGCCCCTGGGTGTATAATAGGTATTTTTAAAATTTCCCTTAAAGCTTTAGTGATTTTTGGGGGAAGCAGGCACTGTATGTTTACAGTGATATTTATAATAAAGTAACTATGCTGATGTGCTGGTTTAACTTAAAAAAACCCAATAATAGTAAAAATGGTGTATTAAGTAAAGACTTCTTTATGCCAGAGGTATCAGCTATGCAGCCTGAGGGTTGCAAAGTAAATATCGCTGCCCTTTGCAGTCTTATCTGTCATGGGTGATAAACCAAAACTGTGTCACAGTATTTTCTCTCTGCTTTGGAGTATAACCTGCCTCAGGTATGTGTCACAGACATGCCTTCTAGAGAGACTGAACCTTTCATCATCTTGCTAGTGTCAGGAAACAAGAAATAATTCTATTAAATCTCGGAGTCAAAACTAGTTCATTCTTACAAGCCTGGTGTTGTGATTTGCCTCTAAATAAGTAGCACAGATCTGCCCTTCCTAGACTCAAGGTATTTGAAGCTGTAGTCCCTGAAACTTTTAAAATAGCTATTACGTACTCTTAAAGTCAGTGAAATGTGGGTTAATTCAGCCTTGAAGAGAAGCACAAAGGTTGCCAGCCACTCAAAAGAGAGTAATTAAACATGTACCTGTGTGTAACCAAGTTGAGGAGCTGTCAGTAGTTCTGTGTGGGTCACCACATGCAATACATCAATGTAGAAATGTTTCTATGGTTTCATACAATTTTAATTTCATATTACTTTTATTAACACTGAATTTCACTGAGTTTCCAAAAACTGATCACAATTTTTAATATATAGAGATCTTAATGTTGCCAACGTTCTTTTCAGATGTTGGAGCTCTTCATATCTTCCTTTTCCCAGCTGCCTCCCGCCTAGAAATGTAAACTAGTGTAGGGACTTGGGATAGCCTCTTCCAAAATAGAGTCTTTCACAGTTATCTCAGAATCTGAATGAGAATGGGATGAAGTCAGAAATCTTAGTTGAAGTACCAAGGGCAGCATGCTTCAAGAAAAGCCAAATGGCTGGTGAGAATCAGACCACCCTTGGTTTTAGGAAAGTCAGTGTTGAACAGGCAGAACCAGAGTGATGCGAATATAACATGAGCATCAAATCAAAAGAGCAAAACAATTGTGTAATGTTAAGCTGTTGTGAGCCAAGGTTCCTCCTTCAAACAATCACTAGCCACAGACCATTTTCCTTACAACTTAATTTATTGCTCAAGTGCAAATTATCCGGTACAGATCTCTGAGCATGCACAGAGCAGTTTGTTGAACCCAGTCTAGTGTTTACCTCCAGGAACTCTCCTTAGGAACATGCATGGGCCACATCCCCTTGGGTGGGGCTTTCTGAAGGTGAGCACACCTCCTTTCTGTGTGCTCCTCATTCAGTTGGGCCTCCCATCTCTGCTGATGTCTCACCACAGGGTTGAGTTTGGAGGGAGGGGATGATCTGCATCTGAGAATTCCTTCTCCTCAGAGACCCCTCCCACTGACTGTACAGCTTGGCTGTTCCCAGGAATTGTCTGGCTTGGTGAAGTCCCTGGCCTTGAGATAAACTCCTCCTCCTGTATCTCAGTATCTTGAGCTAGCCCATCCCCCCCACTGAAATGTGCTTCACTTCCTGATTCCAAATCATCATCTGGTATGCAGCCTGCAGTCTGTAGTTCAAGATTACTACCTGTCTTTCAGTTGTCCTGAGCAGTAAACTCTCAATAGCAATCCCTTGTATAGGCAAGCCTGCATAGGCTGGGTGTAAGGTTCAGAGCTTGTCTACTTCCATTTTCTAAGTCCTTGGTTGTCATGCACTTTTCCTCATGTTTGCTTCTGTGGAAATGAGAAGGTTCTCATTGTAACTTATGCTAACTGCTTGATGGGTGCTTGATTGCTCTTGGTGGCCTTAAGTATTGCTGCCTGCTGTATGACCATGAGTAAAAACATTTGACTTTGACTCTGTTTGCTGGCTGCTATGTGGTTTCTAGGTGTCCAGTGTCTTTTCCCTCACCTCTCGGTGAGGTGTCCTGCCTGCTTAGGATAATGGTAGTCATTCTTCTAGGGTCAGTTTATTCTGTTTAATCTCTATAAGACAAATCTCTTCAGGTTATGCCCAACCCTTTCTCCATAAGAAATCATTCATTATTCATTCTTACTTCATCCACACTTGCTAGCTCAGGTCATCACTTCTCTTAAACTTAAGCTCTCCCAACACTCCTCATGGCTTGTAAGTAGGTCCTTATGGCACCAATACTGATACTATTTACACATGCTACTGTACCATTGCATTAAGTGTGGCTTACTTCTAAGAAATCATGTATCTCAGAATATGGGAAGTTTTCTTACTAAGATTGGATATGTATTTGTATAGGTAAAAAGATTTTTCCTTTGCTAACTTCTTTGAGAACGTTAATGTGCTACTGTGAACGTGAAGCTGTTTTGAGGGTCATTGTGGCTAAAAGGTGCCCTATAAGAGTAAATAGGTTAAAAAGTATTGTTCTAAAATTTGTATTTATTTTTTTAAGTGAAAACATCTGAACAGGTTTTGTTTTGTTTTTTGTCCTATACAGGCATTATGCAAAATTACTCATCACTCACCTAGTGTTTTCCAAAGTGTGATTGAAAAGGTAGGATTAACAGCTGTGATACACTCACTGGCAACTGGCATATGCAAAGTTCAGCAGTACATGATCACAATGTTCTCTGCAATGTTGTCAAGTGGAATCCATTTGCAAAGGCTGATCCAAGAAAAGGTTTGATTTTAAATTTGGTGTTCTTTATTCTTTATTATTATTATTATTATTATTATTATTATAATTATTATTATTATAACATTTCTATGCCGCCCCTTGCCGAAACCTCGGGGCAGCTTACAGCACAATAAAATACATTGAAATACAATAGAACATAATAAATTACCATTAAATACAAAAATACAAAAAATACACTGAGTTACAAATATAAAATTAAAATTATCAGTATAAAATAAGTAAATAAAAATATAGGAGAAGAAAAGAGAAGGAAGAAGAAGTTGCCCTTGCCAGATCATATGTTTTAACAATTAAAATGATGTTTAAATAAAAAGGTCTTTACCTGGCGCCGAAAAACCAGTAACGACGGTGCCAGGCGGACCTCTTTGGGGAGTGAATTCCATAGCTTGGGCGCCACCGCAGAGAAAGCCCTCCTCTGAGTACTTACTCTCCTAATTTCTTTCATGGAGGGTTCCCGGAGAAGGGACTCTCCCGCAGATCTCAAAGGGTGGTTGGGCATATACGGACGTAAGCGCTCGTTCAGGTAGCCAGGACCCAAGCCGTTTAGGGCTTTATAGGTCATAATCAACACCTTGAATTGGGCCCGGGCTTCAATGGGAAGCCATTTTTCAAAAATATTTCCATAAATATTTTATGGAGTTATTTTATGACTCTTTTAAACGTCAATATGTCAGACTAATGTTCCTTGTCATATTTGCTTCAATGTCCACTATGCAATAAGCCAGAATCTGGAAGCACACTGTAAATAGTCCATCATTCTACATTGTGGTAAAAATTCTGGTCCTCCTAGGCCTTATCAAATTCAGGCAGGTAAAAATTGCCCCCAAACTTCACCCCACTGCCTTTTACAGCCTTCTTTCTATACACCAGAACCAGGTCTCTTTCGAAAATGAAAGGTTGGAACTAAAACATTCGGCAAACCAAATTAAAATCCATTGAGGGAAAGCTAGTTTATGCTGACTGGAAGATTATAGGTATACAAGTACTAGTTGAAATCCATTTTTATGCTGATTTAAACCTTCTGGGAGAGTACATTAAGTCAAGCAAATGCTTTCCATATGCAGTATTTGTTTTGCCTGATGCAGTCTTGTCTGGGGTCATAAACTGACCCTAAATGTGACTAATGCTAGGTTTCAAATTTGATGCAGGGTGAGAAAATTTGAAATAGTCCATATTTTTCTCTTCTTTAAAAAATGAAGGAATTATGCTTCTAGTGGTGTGTGTGTGTGTGTGTGTGTGTGTGTATAAAGAAAATGCAAATTAAGGAGCTAAGTTTTTTTTATTTATTTATTTTTCGGCGCCAGGCGAAGACCTTTTTATTCAAGCGGCATTTTAACTGTTAACATTATTGGTTTTATCTGGCCAGGGCGGCTTATTTTATACTGTACTGTTGTATTTTAATTTTATATTTATATTTTAATTTATATTATAATTATTTTAATTAATTGATGTGAGCCGCCCCGAGGCTTCGGCGAATGGGGCGGCATAAAAATGTTTTAATAAATAAATAAATAAATAGTTGCATGCCGCTTTCATTTTCATAATTCATAGTCCTAAAAAGAATGTTACTCACCACTGTAGCTTTGGTTTAAAAAGTTCCTACTGTCAGCACAGTTCAAATACTTTAATAATATTGCTTGATCAGCATTTGCGGCAGCATGCATAGTGGCTTATGTTTTCCAAAGTCTGACAGTGAGAGAGTACCAAAGTTTGATAGTTCCAACGTCTGACTGTGAGAAAAATCTTTAAATTTTTATATCATTTCAAGATAGAATGTTATGTGTACAGAGGGATTAACTTACATGTTTTCCCATGTGATTTTTAAAACCCTCTTTCCAAGTCCTGCTTTGGATACTACCTTTATCCAAAGTGACAACTGCCTCTGAAAAGCAAGGCTTTTATATTAGCTGAACTTTCTCCTGAGGTTTGCAATTCTGCTTCTCAGTTTACCTTCCAGAGAAGTCACTGGTGAAACACCCTGGCTAATTTGGCTGCTTATTGCCATTTGTTTTGTTTTGTTGTCTTTGCGGGATATTTAAGATCATAGGAAGCAGTTCAGAAAATGTTAAGTGAGCATCCGTGTAACAACTTACTCAACTTTTTATCATCTTACTTAAAAGCATACTATTGAAATGAAGAACTCCTCAGTAGCTTTCCAGAAAAAGGGTAAAATACTGCTATCATATCTACTATGTTTTGAATCCTATTATAGTAACCATATATCCTAATAGGAAGGTGAGTCCATACTTCACCTTGAAGCATGTGACATTCAGGTGTGTAAATGGTCTTGAAAATGGAATATCTATTCAATTTGTTTATCAGTGTTTTTATTCTGCTACAAGCAAACTCCAGCTGATGGATGGCAGAGAAATACAAAAGTTATGGATGTAATAAAACAAGTGGGACCTTTAGTGAGATGTTGCATTGTAGAGCGCGTCTCTTCAGGGTTCCAGACATTGGCTGAACCAGAGGCTACATATATAGCATGCAGATGATACTAGCTTTCTTTTTTAACTTCAGCTGAGCATGCAAAGGTGTACATGCCCCGCTAGAAATGGCTAGAAAAAGTAGCATGTGAGTCAAATTTATGTGAATGATCACAGTTTAAGAAGCACAGAACAGGAAACATGAGTGGATGCCTCTCTTTCTTGTATTAGCTTGCAGTGTCCTCATAGAGCCTGTGGTCTGTTCCCCATTGAAATCACATGCCTTTCCTATGAAGTAGGATGCAGAATATTACAGAAATATGGAAATGTGAAAAGGAATGGAAGGAAAGGCAGCTGTAAGCTATCTAATCCTCCTTCCCTTCAGATGATTAATCAAACCACCCCCACCAATCATAATTTACACACCAAAATATGAAAGCTAAAAAACACTATGACATTTAGATTCACTAAATCTAGAAACTAGAGAGAAAAGGATCCATTATTTTGGTGAAGGGGGATATTCTCTTAAAATGAACAAACAAAAGAGTGTTTTGGAATAAATATATACTAATGATGTTTAAAAAATTGAAAATTTATATTGTTAGCCATGCAGAGAACACAGATATGGGCTATTGTAGAAGCATATAAATTAAATAAATAAGTGGCCTTTGCATTGGAAATTGTGTACCCTTCAGAACAGATTCTATTAGTTCAAGATGCAATTACCCTGAAATCTCTTATTCCCCGTTACTCTTGAGATCTTTATGGTAACCAGTGCGGTTTTTATGTGGTATACTGGACAATACGAAATGATATAGCTAGAACTAAATGATTTTTTTAATGTTTAAAAAAAATGTAAAGAAAATAAATTGCACTCCACCACAAAACCACCCATTCCTATTCAACCTTTTCAGGAAGAATACATTCTTATAGACATGATTTATGACTCAAGAATGAATACTGCATAGAATAAAAAGGTATTCAAAATCTCCTTTTAACCTTTTGCATTTAAAAGGCTAGTCTTTATACACTGGAGATAAGCCTCTGTAGGTAAAACATGGATTTACAACAAAACGAGGTTCTTTAAAAACACAGGAAATATGGAAGTTGGGAAAACTAAAACCGAATTGAATCTTATCAACATCATTGTTTATAAATTTGCAGATTCCAAAGCATATAAATACTGGAAATAGGAGGCATTCTTTACAACTTATCTTACCAGGTTTGAAGAGGTGTTTTTGGAAACACAGCATTTTAAGGATTGTGATCAAGATGACTATCATCTGCTGCTAAAATTAGATCTTTTAAAAAGAGAAACTTGCAACCTGTTGAGAAACAATGATAGGGCTTAGAAAGCATTGAAGAGGTGGATAAATTCAGTGTGTCTTAATTTAGAGGGGAATTATGAAATGCTGATTTACTTTTGATATGCAGTAAAAGTATAATTATATGTTTTTGAAATGTGGATTGTGAGTAGCCAATTATATGAAGATGTGCTGGTCATGCCAAAAAATCTAAGCTTTTTGGATAGCAGTCAAGAGAGCCATAAATAGAATAACCAAATATAATTCAACTGTTGACCCCAAAGCACTACTAGATTTTTCATTTTTGGGTCTGAAATATATACAGTGTATATCAGACATTTGCTAACAGACACACAGCTGATTATCGCCAGGAATTTGAAAAGGATAAAAATGAGGAAACAAATTTGGCAAGGCACAGGATCACTAAAAATATATGGTAGATAGTAGTATCCTAAATTTGTGAAAGAATGAAGCCCTTCTATTGCCCAAAAAAGGGAAAGGAAAGGAGTATGGACTCATGCTTTACTATCTCTTTAATTATCTAGTTGATTCCCTGTATGAGTTGCTAGTGTGAAATTAAAATCTATATGTGTTTCACTAATATTCATTGTTGAAATGGTAAATTTGAATATGAAGCTTTAATGTGAATTAATATGTAATTCACTATTTCTTAATGCAGTTCAATAACTTTGATTCATTTAGTGCAAAATTGGCTGTGTTTAATTAGTAGATATTAACATAGTGAAGATTATTTCATTAAAAATTAAAAAGCTCTTTCTCACCATATAACCACATAATTTAATTGCAAGATTATAACTATTATCTTGGACTTAAAACTTATTTTTTGTATGGACAATATGTCCAGTTTACCAGAAGAGCATGTCTGCAGAAGACATTTCACTTACAAATTAGCCTAAGGTCCTCTAAGGATAGCATGATCGAAATGCAGCTTTAGATTCAATCGGTACATTCATTATTTTCTCTTTTAAGTATCTAGGAAGGACTATGTCAAAGTAGTTGTCCTCATACATTTCTCATTGTTTTTTCCTTGGGGCCATTATTAATTGATAGCCATAGTATAGCTCACAGAACTTATTGAATTTTATCAGCAACTCAGATACAGATTAGTGCCATCTCTTGGGGCTTGGCAAAGAAACAGTGTCATGTTCTATACCTTTTAGTTTATATTCAGCTTATTTTGGTTATTGTTTCTTCTTTGAACCATGTTCAGGGTGTGCCGATCCTTATGTAGCTAAAACAGTACCAACCACAGAGGGAGATAGCAGCAAACCTAAGGTAATCCTAAGGTTTTCAGAAGAATATAGGAAAATGAAGAAAAAATGGGCTAACCCTGCATATAGGGGGGAAACAGATAATGTGTATATGTGCTTATATACAGAAAAAGGAAGGCGGGGATGTGGAACACAAGTCCAATGTGACTGTTACTTTAACCTCAGCCAGAGGTCAAGATAAGGATGCAGGCCTTTCCTCCCTAGCAGAGCTTCCCAACTTCATTCCGTAGGGCGGCAATCCCCAGCAAAAGCTGATGAAAAATATCTGGATAGTGGCAGCAGCTCCTCAGGTGGGATGGCAGCTAGGAGAGTTCTTGAATATTTCCCTCTTATTTTTTAACCTGGGACTTGAATGGATTTTCAGCTTGTTAATAACCATTTTTCAGCTTGTTAATAACCTGTTTTCATTTTACTTTATTTGGAGGTGGAGTAAGATGCATATAGCTAGCCACTGTCTGGACAGATTGAGCTAAATAAGACTTTTCTTCTTTTGGAGATGGAAAAGGAAAGTGTATATTTCCTTTTCTTAGTTGGAAAATATACATAAGATACACAAGAAAAATTGTAAAACTGATTATTTTAATTAAAATATTTATTTTTTCATATTCTGAGTTATGCAAATTAAATTGACTTAACAAAGATTAATGAAATAAAAGTCTAGTATTTCAGTTAGTCACCCAGATACATACATTCCATTCATGCATCCATTTTCTCCATACACACACATCATTCATAAAGAAGACACACACACATGCATGCACACCATTCTATAATGAGGTTGAAATGTTTCATAAGAAAGAAGTGTTTTAATAATGTAATTCAACCTTTTATAGTATAAGAAGACACAATCAGTAAAAAGTTTATTTTACTTATAAGTCATGTCTCCAAATTATCTGTGATAGGTATTTTTATTCCATAAACTAAAGAGTCAAATGGAGTTAAGTAGGGCTGCTCAACTGTCCCAATCATTTTACTTCTATACCCATGTTTACATGTGTCCATTTGCTGTACTGCTTGTAGGAGCAAAGAAACCCAATATTCATGTATTGGCTTTTAGAAGCCCATGTATAATTTCCTTGAGAGACACACCTTCATGGAAAACTTTTGCTTTCTCAATTTTCATTGGTGCTCATACCAAGAAAAAGCCTTAAGAGTAATGACAACCTTCCATACAAGGACCCTGACAGACATGTGCAGCCTAAAATTGTCCATACTGTATTTGCACAGTGGAATAGTGCAGGGAAGGTTTGCATAGGTACCATGAGACTGGCTTAATTACTTTATCTGATCCCAGCCCTTCTTAAAACAATCTGCATAAAAATGTTATAAAGTAGAACTCTTACTTCAGGGTCTCTTAGATATCATTTTGACTTCTGAAGAGAATTCTTCACATTATTTCTTTTATAAAAATAATGTTAAGAATGCATGGTTTAATTTAAAATGTTTGAAAATAATTTGAACTGTATCTGTTCTTCTCACTGAAATTACATTTCTATTCTTCCTTCTAACCAGGACCTTCTAACTACAATTATTCGACTATTTGAAAGTCCTTCTACTTTGATTCGGGCAAAAGCCTTTTTGGTCTTGTTACAAGTTTTAATTAATAATAAAGAGATGCTACTTCTGAGCTGCCAGGCCAGGTAAAATAGTAAAAATTGTAATTGAACATGGAGTTGTGTTGTTAAAAACTTCATTTGTGGATTGTATCATATTGGATTGAAACTACCCAGAGAGCCTTCGCTCTTTGGGGTGGAATAAAAACAAACAAACAAATCTATTACCTTCCAAAGGTGAGGCTATGGTTGATTATCTGGTGAGGTTCAGTGCAGGAACATGAAGTAACCATAACCAAGTGGACACCATCTGATTGTTCAGACCCAGGAGTCCATACAATTCAAGAAATATTTCACCTGCCATGCCTTTCCTAGCAAGTCAGTAATAGCATTCTGATATGGCTTATTACCAAGTGATAGTACTCAGGCTTTCAATTAGCCTGGGAAAACCAGAAACTCTAGTCTGAGTCCCATTGTTCATCTCACTGTCTTGATTGTCGAAAGTGTAACTCATTTGCTAGGCAGCATACTGATCAGGATCCTTGAATACACTTGGCTTGTCCCTGTCTTTTTTCAAGTGTGTACTTAGCTTGTTACAGATTGTTACCAGCTTTGCTTCTTGTTTCTGGACCTTTTGATAAAATAATGTTTGGCTTCCATTAAAAGTTATTATTACTTTCCTTTTTTGCCTGTTTTTGATTCTTATGCATTTCTCATAATTTCTAAATGCAGGTTAGAGTTTTTCTGCTATATATTTTTCAAAGAAAAATAAAAGCAAGAAAATTAATGCATGCATGCACAGGAAGCAGAAAATTACTGGAAAAGAAAGTCTCCAGATTTTTTTTTTTTTGTATTTTCAGAAGGGAACATTAGTGATATTTACCATGCAGCAGTAGGAAAAAGAAGTTGGCTATTTCCAGAAAATGTTGGCTCTCCTTGCAAGAAAATTACTTTGCTTTGCTCCCACAGGGTTGTTTATTTACTTTGCTCCCATTAATAGACTTTAGTTTGTCTTATACCTCCACCTAAAGAGGTCTGTTCTGTCACTTAATCAAAAGTGAATTGTTCTGGTGGTTAACAAGCCACCCAAATGGCAGCCATTGACACAGTAAGAAACCCTGCATTGAAATTCACCCATAACTTTTTATTATGTGGAGACCAAATAGAATCACAAAATAAAGTAAAAACGTGGAAGCAGTCTCTGATAATTCTTCTATATCCCTTCTGTACTGGTTGGAAAATTGAGTTTCAGTCAAAAACTTCTCCCCAGTCATGCAAGTTTTTAGGTTTGGAATATGGTTTGTCTAATACAGACACAGGGATACTCTGGCCCACAATGTTCCCCATCCTGAGAGAAATTCCTAGTCTGGACTGACCCTTTTTGTGAGTCTTACCTAATCATTGTGCATTGTGGATAAAGATTAAGACATGTTGATACATCCTGATTTAAGTTTCTTGCCTTCTCTTAATCTTTTGCTTTTAAAATAGAGGCTTTTCCCCCTGGAATTTCAGAAATGGGTCAAACATTTTATGAAATTGCTAAAGCCAGAGTTAGAACTCATGAAGTCTTGCCTGCCTTTTTCTTCCTCTTGAGATATGTTCTAGGCAGGATTGTCAGCCCTTACTGATACTCAATTTATTCTTGGAACTCCTAAAATGTGCTATTTGACAAAATCCTAATATTCATGGATTTGCAATTAACACATTAGAATATAGACATATTCTTTGTGTTGATGATCTTTTGTTATTCATTTTGGTCCTTCAATTATCTGCTCTGGCTTTGATGCAATTGATTAACCATTTTGTATATATATTTGGATATTCTATTAACTGACTGAAGTCAGAACTTATTTCTATTGGAGACAGTATACTCCACAATCTAGTATCTAATTGAGTCTATTACCTGTCTGAGAAGTCTAGTCCCAGAAGTGATGCCACAAATGATGACGTTAAGTTGACTGATGTGGCCTCAAGGGACATTGACAGAGGCTCACCTGGGATAGAGTATACACACTTAATATGAATGTAACACTTCAAATTTTTGTTTTATGTGGAATGCCTTTATATATATTTGGCAAGTATTTCCCAAAGCTTAATGATTTGTTTCTTTTTAATGAGGTTCTACTCCACCACAAATAGCTGTGGGATGTAACTTTCCTTCAGTAAGGGTGGATGTAGACACCCTGACCTTTCCCATTTTGATCTTTTCCACTTAAAGCATATTCTTCTCACTGGTCAGTTCTGGAATCTTCATCTCTGGATCATCTTCCCAAGTGGATTGCATTGGGCTCTTATCATACCAAAACAGAAAATGTGCCCCCTCCAGTTGCAGCAACTACAGAGTAACGGCATATATTTTACTTCAGTTTCAGTTTGAGAAAATTTCACATGCAAAAAACTTTATCGAGAAATCCAAATTTTAAAATTGTCAAGAAAATGGTTTTTTTGGCAGACTTTGACAGATAGGCTGACTTTTTCTTTGAATAAGCTTGTCATTCTTCACAATAATTTTCATTTTCTGAGTTGTGTGCCAAGTGTAAGTTTGCCAGGGTCTTAACCAGGAATGGAATAATGAGCTGGACTGCCCTATCTTGCCCAGACAATGGAGTGCTTCATTATTCTCTATTTTTCAGGGTTTCAGGGATCCTAGGCTATGCTTATTCAGCAAACAATGATATTTTGTGTATAGTGAATGCCACAACATCTTTTTGAAAAGGGCTTAATTAAATCAGCCAGTTGTTGGAGATGCTGCTAATAATGCTTTTCTACTTAATTTTGACAATACCCAATGGCCGGTTCCTTCTGGGAGGAGGTAGTAATTTGGATACATCTTGTGATGGAAGGTTCTTTAATATTCAAGGAAGCACATGTTCTTTTCAATGACCTTCCTATTTCTTAGAATTTAACCCAAGGTCAACGTAAATAGTTTTTCCATACCCTATTGACAGCTAAAAGCTGAATGTTATAACACGGGAATACTAGTCAGCCACCTGCAACCCAGTGAAGGATTTAATGAAACTTTCAGTTTCTGAATGGGTAGATTTTGGCATAATTTACAAATGGATAAATATGTGAAAATTTGGAGTGCCTTTGTTGTCATCTTCACATAACTATTTCACAATGCTAGTATGTGCTGTTGTACAGGGTAGGCCAAAAGTAGGCATATAGTTCTGATCAGGTAATGGAGGACCTCACACGCTGAATGAAATGAAGGTGTTCATCCCGCAAGCATTTATCCTCACTGGTGCTAACTGGAATTAGTGTCACATTGTCAGGGACATCCAGGAATGTTGCAACATTGATGGAAGATATTTTGAGCACCTGCAAGACTAAACATGACTCAATCAGTACTGTATACCTACTTTTGGCCCACTCTGTATACTAACGGATAGAGATATGTAATATGCATATAATTAGTGCTATGGATCTTTTTGCAATTTATTCAGAATTGTAATGTTTCTGCTCCCACCTCCCCCCAGTGTGCCCGCGATCATGCCCACCTCCCCCCCGCACGATCTTGGGGTGTGGGGAGATGGCCATGATCTTTGTTGCTCTTTGTCACTTTGCTTCAAATTTTTGTGAGTAAAAAAAATAGTTGCAGAATGGTCATTTACATTGACCCTTAGTTTCACTTAGTTCACGACCAATTTGGGTCACGATCAGAGTCCTGGAATGGATTAAATGCTCTGTTTATGTTGCAACTGCTATATCGATCTAAGCTGATAAAAGGTGGTCTTTGCCTCTTTGACCACTTGGGCCTCGAGTGATGCTGAGGAATCCAAGAGCATGCCCAGACTGTGTGCCTCATCTTTAAGGGGGACTGCCACCCCTGCCAGGGAAGGTTAGATGCCAGTCAACAGGGCAGACCTGTTGAGTGAACTTCTTTGCTCATTTGTTTATTTAATGTAAATTATGTCACCTCATTGTTTTTTTTAACTCTGGTTTTACTGTGTAGGAATTCAGTTTCTGATTTTCTTAGGGAAATATTTAACTGCTGAAGCACTATATAAGTATCATCTGACATATAAGCATGTCCATAAGGCATGTTTGTCTCAGTCATCTTTTGAAAGAAGTATCAGTGTTTTGTCATATGAGGTAATATTTTGCACTTGTTGGTGAATAGATTGGTAATGTACATTGAAAGAGACAGCAGAAAGCCCACTCCAGGAAAAGAACAGAAAAGCAGCAGTGAATATCTATCAAAATGCTTGGATCTTCTTATCTATTATATTGTGCAGCAACTGCCGGAAATTCTAGGTAAATTTTGTTCTCTTTATAAAAATGGGTTCCCCTTTTGTTTCTGTTTTATTTATTCTCCATGTAAAACACTGTGGAAAAAGGATGGGCAAACTTGTTCTGTGGTGGAAAATCGCTGCAATGTCTGGCTAATTCTTTGGATTTGTAATGGTATGTGGACCTTTCACATCTCTCTCTTTCGCGTACACACACACTCTCCTATGGGCATGCTCACCCCACTCTCACTGGCACTGTCCCCCTCCACTGTCTCCCATGCACATGCCCCTGCCCCTGTATAGTTTCTCCCACATCTTTTCTTCCCCAGCACAATCACACTTTTACAAGCCCACCAAACAAAGAACTGGTGAGCTCGAGGGAATTGGGGGAAGGGCATCACATGGTACCCATAGAAAACTATATGGAAGATTGTCCAAACCTGGTTCCGTACTCGATTAGCTTATATTTCAGGAATGGTGCCAGAATGCGACATGAGTCACAGTAGGGAAAACAAGTGCTGTAATGGAAGTAGCAGTATTGTATACAGTATGATTTATCCTGCTGAAATCACATGGACTATATATTCTGGTAACAGGTAAGAAAAACATTTCCACATATGCACATGTGTTTGGTTTCACTGTTTATGGTCATGTCAAGGGTGGCTTGTCAATTAGTATAAACCATTTAGGTAATATAATAAAAAACTAACATTCTTCGTGGAGAGGAAAGCTGTGATGTTTGTGAAGAAATTCAAAGAGTCATTGAATGTATCAGAAGCATAGTAGCTTATTTTAGTATTCTTATAAGTATGTGAGGGTTTCATGAAGGAAAGCTAGTTTTAAAAAAGAGAAAATAGGAAAAGGATTAATAACTAAGCAGTGGAAACTGAGAGTATATGTTTAGTCTCAGACTAAATATATATAGGACAAGTGCAGTATTAACCCTCAAATTAGAGATCATGACAACAGTCTTATTTATTTATCATCCTATGCATACTCCATGGCTGAGCAGGGACTAGAGTCCAGATGGCCACAGTCCCATGCTCTTAACCGCTACCCCACATTGGCTTATCAATGTCAAATAGTATTTTCTTATATGTGTTAGGAGAAGCTGGAATTGCAATGAAAAGTATTCATTTATGTTCAATTTTAACAGCAGACATGGAAAAATACATGTTTTGAACTCCACAGGGAAATATGGAAGGAGCTGATCCCCATGAGAGCCAAACAGATATTCTGCTTCTCCATTCCAAATTCTTCCTTCCTTTTCCCTTTAAAAAGGAGTTGGGGGCATTTAACATGAGCTTGCCAGTGATGTACCTCCAAAATAATAAAATTGGTAAAACTCATTTAGAAGTAGTTCAATTGCTGGGTTTTAAAAATATGATTGATTGATTGATTGATTGACAGATATGTGTGTGGTGTTCATTTGTGTATAAACACCATTGAAATCTCAGTCTCTTCCAGTAGATGTAGCTGTAAACCACAAATATTAAAGTATTTTTAAAAATTCATTTAGATACTCATTTAGGGTTAGGGTTTTTCATTTAGAAATACATTTGTAGCTACACGGTTCAAAGCTAGGTCATATCAGCTATAGACATATAATAAAGGCAATTGACTTTAAAATAAAGTCAGTTGTCTTTCATCTGGAGCTTCAGCTGTGACCACTTCAGGTAAAGCTACATCTAATTTCACAAAATTCTCAGCCATGTCCTCACTAATAAATATAGCTTGCTTTGCAATGCATTATATGAAACAAAAATGTCTATATTGAATTTAGAACAAGAGAGACAGAAGCTCCCTGTCTGCCTCTGCTATTTTTAATAGTGCTGGGCAGGAGCTGTGTTAGTGCAGAGGCAGGGTCTAGCACAGAAAAGTAATGGCTGCAGTTGGGTTCTCAGTCTAGCAATAGATTTCAGGGGATTGTGAATCAATTGTTCTTTTGTGCCAGTATTCATCTATTTGTTACATTATATGCTTAGTTTGTCCTTGGATTTGTCACCTCCCCCCCCCACTTTTTAAATTTGCAGCAGTGAGGGGTTGGGCATCAGAACTGTTGTGCAGAGAGAGCAGGTTGTTCTTTCCCTCTTCACCATGATCTCCCTGCCCCCCACACTATATGGCACAGCAAAAACTTTCCAGCAAATATTGTCAAATAGTAGATTTGAGGGGGGAAAGATTTTCATCGAAATTGTGTCATGACAGAACCTTAGTCCCAATCTTGATCTTTACTCCTTGTGGCACCTACTTTAAAAGAAAAGCAGATGCACAAGCATGAACAACATGTTTAATGTAACATGTAGCTTAGAACTTTTGGTCCATCTTAGTGTTGCCATGACAGCACAGGATGCATGCAGGATTAAACCAGTGGATGTTGCTGTTGAAAATGAACTATTTTAAGCATTTACAAAAGAATTGCGGTCAATTACTACTTTCAAAAATCAGATACAGGTATAATTAATAAACATATTTTGAAGATACTTCATAACTCAGACAATGCTAAGCAGTGAAGTGTCTTGCTCAGTTGGTGGCATGGTGGGAAGAGCAGTTTTCAGGGAGAGATAATCTTCCATCTGGGTATCAGTTAGGACTAGAACTGTTTATAAAAGGATGTTCAGAATTTCCCTAAGTTTAGATAAGGCTCAGCCAGGTCTCAGTGAGCAGCAATTCTATGCTCCATTGTAATCACAGAAGCCCATTTTCTAATAGACCCCAAAGCTACACTAGAAATCCCTTCCCTACCACCAGTACAAATGAAGGAATATTCTAGAATGAAGAATTCTGCAGCCTTCTGCCCTCCCATGCACAAAGCTACATTTGCCTCAATTTAATGTTGCTGCTATTTGAGCAGGAAAACAATGCATTTGAATGAACATTTTTTGAAAATGTGCATCCAAATGCATAATTTCCCCCCATTGACTGAAGTGTGAACATTTTAATGTTTTTTGGCACTACATATTTTTCAAACCAGCATCACAAGTTTGGTAATCTGAGATCTTTGCCCAAAATATGTGTTTGCATTCAGGGGTGCAAGCAGGGCAAATGTTGATCAAAGGCAAATCAAAATGAATTTCTAATTATTAGGCTCTAGCAGGGTCTGGCCTTAAAATGGCATATCAGTAATACAGCATTTCAAGCAGGCTGTTTTAGATTGTACTAGGATTTTTGCTTTATATCTTGGTCCTTCACACATCAATTTAGAAATCAATGCCATTTGATTGTAGTAGCTTACACACTGTGCATAGGATGTAATTTCAGGCTACATACAGATATACATAACTTGCATACTGAGTGCACTGGAAAAGGTTGTTTTGTGCATACAATTGACCCGAGGGGACATCATCTCTTCCTGTTCATGTAGAAGCCAGCTATTAAAAGCAGATTAACTCCTTTTATATTACTAAGTAACTTTTCTCCCACTCTTACCCAGTTCCTTGGCCAGATTCTTCTTTTCATGGACTATTCTCCCCCATCCCCCGCCTCTCTGCCTCTCTCTCTCCCTCTCTCTCTCTCTCTCTCTCTCTCTTTTCACAGAATGAACATAAGGGTCTAACTATTCATGCTAGCTTCAAAAAGGCATTGTTTCTGTTGTTGCTAGCCCACCCGAAGCATTGGGAAGGGTCTAGACAGTGTACTAAATCAGTATTCAGCTTATTGATCAATAGGTTTGCCAAATTCATTCCAAAGACAATGGAAACTAAGTTCAAGATGAAAAAAATACCAAGTACTGATTGCAAAGTATGTTTTTACACATCCTAAGCTATGCTTTGTAATACTCCAGCACCATATTTTATGCATGTCAGCATGTATTTGCTCCTGGACACACATTTAATGTGCATGCAGACTTTAAAAGCTATGCTGTTTTTCTGCAGAGAGACATGGTGAATGTGGTGAGATTTAGAACTTTCATAATGATTGCATAGTAAAAAAAAAAGTTTAGTTGTGATTAGATTAGGAATTTTAGTGGATGAATTAGACTTAGAGTACAATTGCTTGTTTTCTTAAAATCAAAGCCCCACTGTGGTCCTTATTTTCAGGTAAATGGTGCAGAGCAATGTAGTGTTAATTGGATATGTTTACATCCAAATATCATGAAACTTGTGTTTTTTAGGTGACATCCTCTCTGCACTAGCCAGTGTATCAGGACGTAAACATCCATCAACAATTCAGGCTAAACAGCTAAAAGGTTGTCTTCCAATGATGCCTGTGGTACTTCATCTTGTGACATCCCAGGTATTAATGGTTAAACAGCTGAAATTAAGACTATTGCTGGATTTTGAGTTATATGGGAGGTTTACACTCTCTTGCTCATAGTTCCTAAGCTCTCCTCCTTGTACATTTCTTATTATAAGATAGCATCATTAATTAATACAGTCAGTTTTGTCACAGAGTTTTTGTACTTTAGTTGTGTTACACTAAATAAAACATGTCACATTTCCATGGCTTATTTTCTCCCTCATACTGACCTTCCCAGCTCTGGATCAAGCAGTGGTGGAACAAACAAAGAAGACTTGTGCCTCGCCGGCACTTGCAGAGAGCTGCAGATCCAGTTCCACCACCGCTGCACCACCAGATGCTTTTCTTCTTAGCTTGCTTCCACACCACCCAAGTACTAGGAAAAGTGCAGAAAATGTGGAAGGCCTGTAGTCCACAAGGCACTCAGTGAAGTGGCAGGACATGAGCCATTTTAACCCTCACCCTCCTTAGTACTTGGTTTAGAACAAAAGTGACTGGACTAAACAGGGGAGGAGGGAAATGTGGTGACTCAGGATGCTGATTGCAGTAGTGCTGTGAAATAGGGTCACAGGGAAAATATTTCATAAACTTTTGAAATCTCACAGACCTCATCCAAAGGTCTTATTGTGCGCGCCTGCCGTTGCTCCTATCTGGCTGCATTTTGGAAATGTAGTACCTGGATGACTAACAGGAACCTCACAGTCTGAACACAGTTCTGGCCCACTAGCACTGACTACTTATATGCTTCCGAGCCCAGTTCTAGGTGCTGGTTTTAATCTATCCTGCCCTATATGACTTGGGAACAGTACCTGATGAATTGCCTCTCCCAACTTCAGTCTGTCTAGATCAGGGGTCTCAAACTCGCGGCCCGCGGGCCAATTGCCGGGTCGGGCGGGGCATGGGGGAGGGGCCCTGTGGCCTTCAAAGCACTGGTGGCACCTGGGCCGGCGGCGGGATGAGCAGCCCACCACCACCGCGGTGGTGGAATACTTGATGCGGCCCAGCCTCACCCAGACTCTACTTCCTGCGGCCCCCAGGTAAGTTGAGTTTGAGACCCCTGGTCTAGATGCTACTAACATGATCTGGGGCCCACCTCCAATTGCCAAGGGAAGCCTGACTGGGGGCAACAAGGAAAAAGGACTTTTCACAGTGACTCCCCAGTTATAGAACAAGCTCCCACCTGAGGTTGGCCTGGCACCAATTTTTGCTACCAAGTGAAGGCAGTGGAAGTTTTCCATTTTGTGGGCAAATCCTTCATCTTGTCTGGCTCAGCAAAGAAGGTGGAAAAGGATACCTCATAATGTGCAGGTGTTTGCTACTAGAAAGCATAACAAGGCCTGAATTTCAGGACCTGCCTGTGCGAATCTGCCAGTCTTTCCTGTACCCCTGCTTATCAGTAAGTTGCCTAGCTACAGCTGAAAAATCAGCTTTTTTTTAGCTTGCAAGGCTTCATGGCATTAGCAGCAAGGCATGCTTAGCCCTATCTTAGCCCTGTCGCTCCTTTGCTTGGACAGTCTCACTTATGGCTGAAGGCTTTGCTGACCTATCATTCAGGGTGGCTTATCATGGTTTGGAAACCTGCCCAAGTGAAGCAGTTTATTTGCCATATGTTCAAACAAGTTACTGTTTTTTCCCCCAACCTTATATTCACATAGGTTTTTCGTCCTCAAATTGTAACTGAGGAGTTTATTTGCAGCTATGGAAGTTTATTGGTAAGTAAAAATTTCAAGTCACAGTGTTAAAAACATAGATGCCTATAACTAAATTGAGAATTTCTGTATGCAAACAGTGTGCCTACAGGTTTAGCTGTTTCTATTTTTATATATAAGATATGTATATGGTAATGTAGAATTTCTCCCCTAAGATATATATTCAAGAAAAAATTAATAGTGTGACTTTCCCCTGAAAATTATCATAACGTTCCTTTAAAATGAGGACTTGCATAACCAATGATGGAGATGAACTGAGAAATTCAAAATCGATGCAGCTAAGGCATTGCAGCAGTAGTTTTTACACTATGTATTAGGCTATGCTATTACCTGTCAGGTATACTGATGTATTGCATTGAACAACGTACTATCAAAGACAGCTTGTGTTATCCATTGTAGCCTTCCCACCTAGTAACAATTCTCCTTTATGGAGCTTCACCCATAGGTTCTGGGACCTTCAGGCATCTTGTAGTCTTTAGTCCACAGCATGGCAATCTAAGTCTTAGCAGATGCTGTTTCTTTTTCTGCCAGCTACAAAGATGGGGTCATCCTACCATTAGGCAGATTGAGGTGGCTGTTTTGGGTAGCAGATTCACAGGGAAAGGGGGCAGCACCAAATATTGAGGGATGGAGCTCTGAGCAGCACAAAACCTGTCCGTGCCCTCTGAGCTCTTTGTGTGGTCAGTGTGGGGCTTAAGGCAATGCCAGTAGCTGATTCTTCTTCCTGCTTTCGGACATAATGCTTAAAAATGCTTTTCTGACCTAACAAATCTCTCTTCCCCTTATACCAACTTACGGAATACCTGTGCATAGCCTGGTTAAGAGCAACAGGAGTACCATCTCTGGGAACCAGGGCTGCCCTTGATCTGGCTGTAGATTTTTTTCCCACCTTTGGGAGATTTGCACTTATTTGATGAGCACTTTCCCCATTCTTCAGAAGATTTCCTCAAACTTTCAGGGAAAGATGCACCAATTCACCAAAGTGCAGGTGTTTCTGTACTTCAGTGAATCTGTGTAAATCTCTCTGAGATTTTAGTTTCTAAAACTAACTTTGCATAAAAGTCCCCAAAAGTGAAAAAATAATATTAAATATGTGCCAATCTCCCAAGGGTGAAAAAATTCTACAAAATAAACCCCACTCTGACAATAAGGACCTTTGTGCTCATTAATGAGTAGGTTGCTATAATTGTACCAAAGACCTATTGATCGTGTGCTGGGAGCAGATGTGAGGACTAAGGTGGAAACAAACTCCAGCAAGCTGCAAAGCACCTGTCTGCTGTGGCCAGTGACTGTTAGTGAGAAAACAGCCAACTCACTGTAGCTTCTTTGCAGGGTAGCTGCTTATGACGTGCAAGCTAGTCCAGAGATTCAGGGCTAAACAGAATGACCTGTGCTGTGGGGAAGGACGATCCCCAAAATTATATGAATGGTTGCTCCACCAGGAGAGCCCTTCCTCTTAAGTAAGGCAGATCCTGGATCCAGTCTTATATATGTTGATATATAAGATTTTTTGCAGTGATTTGTTTTTGATGCACTGTTATCATGCTGCATTGTGTCAATGGTAATTATCACTTTTTGCATTTGATTTCCCTCTGCCAACATTGTTTAAATTTTCCTATGTACACATGCTCACACATACCAGCATCTACAAATAAAGCTGTCATTTGCAAGTTAACACTAAATACATTTACTGAAGTGGGTAGTGCCCACAAAAGCTAATTCCAGATTATTCCCTTAATATTTATGGTGCCACAATACTCATTATGATATTTGCCTTAAATCATTATACTAAGAATACAGTCTGCAGGTGTTATAGTCTCTTTTTCTTTTTATCAGGACATTTACATTATGTATAGGTGATGAAATGCTGAGGTATAAACTAGAAAGCTGAGACATTTGTCACATTCAGCATCTGCATTCTAGCTTTGATATTAACAATAAGACTCGTATCAAGATTTCACATATGCCACAGAGTACTGCAGTTAAAATGAAGTAGTAGTTGTATATTGTATTTTTAGTTCCTGCCAGGACTGTGACAGCTGCTGTCAATGACAGATACATTTTTTAAGAGAATAATTTTTGCTTTGAAACAAAATGTGGTGAATATTTATGTTTCAGCAGAGGGTGCTACAGTGAAAGATTTGCTTATAACAGTAGATAGCAGTGCTTCCAAATGGTAGCAGGATGGACCTCATGCTCACTTCTTTGTACTCTCTTAATTCTGAGAAAATGTAAATACTTTAGCTGGACATTGAATACTTTCAGGGACGTTATAATGTCTGTAAAGGAAATATTTTTAGAATTTAAATTAAATAAATTGTGTGCTCACCTAAACAACAAACATTGCAAGCCTCTCCGGCCCCCCCCCCTCCGCATTTTATGTAAAAGTTTGGATTAATGCATTGAGATATATGATGGCTGTCAACATATTTTTTTACAGAATGGATGAGCAGAGGGGAAGGCAGTATCTGTAACACATTACCGTCCTGCTCATTCTGTACTAGAGCGTACTTTATCAATAAAAGGCAGGTGGTGTGCTATGTAAATCAATTACAAACCTTACATATAATATTGTATACGCTACTTTTCAGCAAAATGCTATCAAAGTGTTTTACAGAGTAAAAGGTGATATGCAAACCTATTTCAATAACGTCATTCACAGTCTCTCTGCAGGAATGCAACTTGGCTGCTTTTACAGAGGAGCATCCACTCTGATACCCCAGACTTGTTCTGCCTAGAAAGTGGTACAGTCTGGTCTACCAAAGCTCCCTAAGACCCTCTCTGCAGTTTTCCTCTCTCCACTTCTCTGCTTTTTTCTTCCCATCGCTTACATGTGCTGGAAGGGAACTAGGAGCACACATTAGGGTAGCCATCCCCAGCTTGGCTGCTGGAAGATGGAGATGTAGTCTAACAAGTTCCCTAGTGGAACTTGTTTAAGAATGAGTGAGGGGAATGATGCAGACTCCAGCTGCCAAACTTTAGCCACTAAGACAGCAATATGGGCATTCATCTACACATTTACTAAGCATTGCAAGACAGATGTGCTTACTTTCTTCAGGAGGGAGGTCTAGCGTTGAAAGCATATCCTCAGGTATACTGCTTTCTTATATGCATTCCAAAGATTGCATGTCTTCCAGGTACCTCAGGAGAACATGATAATTAATGGAGCCAGTGGAGAGCCAGTGTGGTGTAGTGGTTAAGAGCGTGGAACTGGGACTCAGATGACCTGGGTTCTAGTTCCCACTCAGCCATGAAGCCAACTGGGTAACTTTGGGCCAGTCACAGACTCTCAGCCCAACCTACCTCACAGGGTTGTTGTTGTGGGGATAAGATGGAGGAGGAGATGTAAGCTGCCTTGAGCCCTTTGTAGGAAAAAGGCAGGATATAAATCCATAAATAAATAAATAATCTTGCCAGTCCTCCTGGACGCATTCCACCTACCTCTCCTTTGAGGATCAGTTCACAGATTTCCAGTGGCTGGCCTTTTCAGTGGCTTCTGCCAGTGCTATATGAGTGAGGAATTGAGTAGGGAATTCTAGGATATTCCCTTTACCCATATACCTTCTTTTCTTCCATCTATGGCTGATATCTTAGATCAGTGAGTCAATATTAGCTGCTTTGCACTAGTTGGCATAGCAGTTATAAGGAGACCTTGCCTTTCTCTGCTGGTCTGGGAGCCAAGTTCCTTCCCTTGGGGCAACAACAAATTACACTGGTACCTCAGCTCGTGAATGCCTCAGTTCACGACCAAATCAGGTTGCAAACAGAAATTTTGGAAAAATTTTGCCTCAGGTCGCAAATTCCACATCAGGTGACAACCGCATTTGTGGCCATCTTCCCTGCACGAGCACGATTATGATCACGGCCATTTTCCTCACATGAGCACAATCGCAATCATGATTGTGGCCATCTCCCCCCCCCCCCCCCCAAGTATCTTCCCCATTCGCAGTCGCAGACAGACCTGTGGTCACTTGCTGTGAAGCTTATTGAATAATGGCTCCAGAGAAAGTGCAGAGCAAGCATGGTGGTAAAAAGAATGTGCAGAGCAGTAACAAAGGTGTCAAGAACATGCAGATTTTTCACCAAAATTGACTCTCCCTCCAAACAATAACCTCCCCGCCGCATAGGTTAGTGTTCTCTTCTGTACTGTACTTTGTTTCAGTTTTTTGTGATTAAAATACTACAGAACAGATTAACCTTATTTACATTGAACCTTATAGGGAAATTTGATTTGGCTCGTGACCAATTCGGGCCATGACCAGAGTCACGGAATGGATTAAGTTCGTAAGCTGAGGTACCACTGTATGGCCCTGCCTACATTCTCCAGAGGGAGACACTATTCAATGCCCTTGAAGAGGCTCAAAGAACAGAAATTCAAAGTAAATGATTTATCATTCCCCCTCTCCTGCAACTTCCCCAAGACCAAATATGGGAACACATCTAATAATGAGCATCCCAGAGCAGGACTAGTCCTATCATATTGTTCTATTACCAAGTTTTCAGTCAGACAGCTAACTTGATGGTACTTGAAATCCTTACAAGAGGAGAATTTATGGAGTTGTATTCCTAACTTGTGGGTATCAGTGGTAGTTCTGGCTTCCTTGGCCTTAGCAAAACACATGTCCTCTGCAGGAGCCCCTGCCACCCAGATCAATCCAAACTAGGAGGGAAGGGCTGTTTCTGCTGCAGGTTTCCATCATACATCATTTGTGAACTCTTATAATTTGGAAGGACCATTTATTTAGCTGCTGCTTTGAATGGCAGTTTGAATAGGATAGTACTATTGCTATACATGAGACATTTAGCTTTTGTCGGGTTGCAGTTTGGGATGGGATATTGTATCTAACAATAGATTCTTAAATTTTAAAATCTGAAATAGTTGAAAAGAAAAGGTCATATGTTCATAATATGTAGGCCTTGGCACTAAGTTCATTTCATTATTATATTTCTGTACTGCCCAATAGCTGAACCCCCTGGGCACTATGCAAAGATTAAACGATTTAATAATTAAGGATTTTGATCGATAGTGCAAAAGGCTTTTGTATAGTGGCCAAAACTGATGGGCTGTCATGTCTTTTGAAATGACACACCTCATTGTGTGTCCAGGAAACCGGTGAGCAAGCCAGTTGGCAAGAGAGCACCCCACCCCTGGTCATTCTTGCTGAGCTCATCCAGGCCAGTAGCAGTGCCAGATGTTCCAGCAATGCCCAGGAGCAACAATCAGTTTCCCTGTTCTCCTCATGACTCCCTTTCAGTTGTTATCGCAGCTTCCCCCCGCCCTGTTTTTTCCCCTTTTGCTATATTTTCAATCTCCACATAGGTAACTGCTGACAGCTTCTTCAAAGCACCCAAGCAGCATATTGGAGGTGCCACCATTGGTTTGCAAATATTGGCACCTCCAATATTTTTAAGTGCCAGAAATGTGTGTAAATATTTTTGCAAGTGACCAAAACACTTTGCCAAGCAAATATATTTTTACTACTTTGTTTTTTGTTTGACAGCTTACTGTTTGACAGCAATCAATTGAGAAGCAAACTAGCAAAATTAAATTGGCAGTCTTGCTTTGATCATTGTTAATGCCTGGTATCCATTTGCCTTTAACAGCAGATATTTACCATGACAGCAGGCAGGCAAGACTTTGGGTCACCTGAAAGTATGCAGCTCCACACCCATAAAAGCAAAGATTAAGGAAAATGTGGGGAACCAGTAACAGTCACTCTTATGTGCCACTTGGGCTCTCTAAAGGGACTTGCAGCTGTTACTGGCAGAGATTGTGAAAGAAGGAAGGAAGCATTGGGCAGCAAGTGTAAAAGGAGTTGGAAGTGGAGCAGAGAGAAGAGACAAGGAAGTTTCAGCCACCAAGTCCCCTAGGATATCTGCTGTAGGACTACTGGGAGAGAACAGGGAACAGCCTCTGGTGATCCCAACCTGGGGAACTACGAGTTCTTCCATAAGTAATCCACACTGTGAAACTTAATTGCAGGGTGTGTTGTTGTTTTGTGCAGACACTCCCATTATCTCTCAGGAGTCACCATTTAGCAGAGACTTACTTCACATGCTAAAGAAGGGCTCCCCCCACATCTTTCACACAAAGAATAGGAATTAAAAACAGAATCATGAAAGAGTTAAATTTAAGAGTTAAGTGCTTTCATTTTCTGCCATTGAAATTAAGTTGGGCTTTAAACAATTTTACTTGGGCTTGATCGTGCACTAAGAGTCTAATTATCTTGAACAATGCACTGAAATATGAAGCTTGAAACAAGGTGAAGATATAAAGTTGTGGCCTGTAGCTTCCTATCCGTTACTTGTGAGAAAGTATTAAAGATCACCTGGAAACATTAACATGCTTTTATTTTCTCATAATCTTTAGTCTTGTAATTTTTCCCATATAAGTCAAAATGCTGAAAAGGTAGCCCACCTGTATGATCTGACACAGTATAAAAATATATATTTTTAAATTAGGCTGAGGCTTAGTGTTTCTCTGGCATGTAAGCATCAATGACATATATTTTGCATCCCTATAAAATGTCTCCCATGCATAAAATTGAATTACAAAAATGGAAATAAATTAAGTGGCACAAGAGCAGTGGGAATAATAGTGAAGTATTTACTTATCCCAGAACATTAATATTTCATTTGTGCCGCTCCTCAGAAGGATGATTTATTTAGGTTATCCTTAAAATGTAGGAGGGTGTGATTTTCTATTCTTCTGCATATAGGTGCATCCACAGAGTGTGCCTTATATGAAGAGATCAAAGAGATGCCGCCAATAACAGAAAAGGGTGTTTTCAAGAAGTGTTTTGGTCATTTTAATTTTAACTTGGCTGTATTCTGAATTTTAAAAACCCTGTAGAAAATCCTATTTAATGATCAACTTTTGTCTGTCTAATGATACAGAGTAGAATCCAACAGGGCACTTATGCTTGTCCTGATTCCCTTTCACCTGGTCAATTCCAGTTCACAGACAGGACTCACTGCTTGTGGAAGGAAGAGTTAGTGTTTCAAGGGCAAATGGAAATTAGTGAAAATGCTGGAAAGGACAGGCTGGCAGAACTTGCTGAGTGAGCTCTGTCAACCTGTGCCTATTGAGAAACAAGCTAAGATTTAGAAATGCTAAATTTCAGTTGCAGTCCCACTCATGGAGCTGAATTGTGGGACCTACTGCTTACACAATGAAATCAACAGGTGTAAGAGAATCACCAGAAGTGTTAGGATTCTGCTGGATTCTGCCCCTAATTTATTAGTATCTTCAGATTTTTAATCTGGAAATTATTTTTCCTGGTTGTGCTAATGTTGGCTAGCATACAGTATTTTGATTGTGCTGGAACATGACCCAGCTTGAAAATTATGTTATGAACTAGTTGAATTTGAAAGATGAAGGCTTCAGTCTGCTGCATCCTTACTTGAGAATAAGCTCCATTAATCTCCATAGTTTTAACTTGAGGAGTCAATGCGACAATGTTTTAATGAGACTAAAATTATATTTCCTGTATGGTGGTTTTTTATTGCTTTCATGTTAATAGAGCATTTATCCTTAAAATATTGTCCCGTCAAATGTTCTATATCATACTTATTTAACAAAGAAGTAGGCTTTAGAATAAAGAGAAAGATGCTAACTTTTTTGGTTCTGAATTTGCTTTCTAGAATTTTATCAGAGTAATAGATTCTGGAGAAACTAATTTAGATGGTGCAATTGGTAAGTGCACTCAGTATTTGTCATGTTCTTTATACAAAATGAGTTTTCTTCTGATGGAAAAGAGATAAACTGTTTTTCTCCTACAGGTCAAACAGCTTCAGAAGAACTGGTTAAGACTACTTTATCAATATTTGAAGCAATAATACAACATCCAGTCTTGTTGATACATTACCATTCAACTGTAAGTCCTGGCACAAGATGAAACAGCTACATGCTTACTTGCTGTGTTCTTGCTATAAATGGAATATTGCCAGATCATCAGCAGTTATTAGGGTCATGGCTTTACAAATTAATTGTCAGGAGTGAAAAGAGAAGTGGTTTAACTGTGTTTTTTTAACCTAAGGTTGGCTTTTATATTTCCAGTAGATTTCAGAAATGCTAACAAATAATTTTCAACATTTGGTTGACAGTTTCATTAGAAGTAGATTAGAAGCCCTTATTTTCTTTGTAACTTCATATGCTTTTAGCTCAAGCTGTGGTGATGAATTCACTACAGTTAATAGATTGTACTAACTTTATACAATGGGTCTGTTGCATGACATGACAGCCTACCATGGGTTATTGAAGAACCCACACATAACTCATAGCCTGTTCTAGGGTTAACCCTTGACATAACACATACTTGCCAAGCTCTCACAGTGAGGCTACAGTTCATGCAAGGTGTGTACAGCCACCATTTTAAATGTTCAACTACCCCCTCAAGGAAACCTAAAGTTTGTGGAATATGTGAGGATTGTTTAACCCTTGTATATCTCCAGCTAATTGGGTTTGCATGACACAATTTCCAAGCAGTAATCAGATACGCAGACTGATAGCTTTGGACGTAGCAGCTTGTCATGAATTAAACAATCCATGAGAAGACTACCATGTTGGTCAGAACAGGTCAATAACCTGAAGAAAATGAAATATTGTGACTCAGAAGTGCCTGAAACCAACAGTAGAGTATGGCTTTGAACAAGTATAACTGTATAAGCTGTTTCAACCTCACATAACCTGGGTTTGCACAACATGACAAGCTATGGTGTGCACACTGGAGCTTGCATATTCAAAATGACAGTCAACACACAATGCAAAACCCTGCAGATTAATTAACTCAAGGTGGCTAAGCATTATATGCAAACCAGGTCAATTATAGCCTCTTAATGTCTACAGCCATTTGTTGAGCTGATCTTTAAGCACTTTATTTTTATGTATTTACATGTAAGCATCCAGTATGATCTAATTAAGTTCATTATTGATGAGATTTGCATAACTCTTATAGAGTTTTATGGTACCATCATTGTCAATGCAAATTGCACATAAATTAAGAACATTTCAATATTACTCAAGCAAACATCATTAAGGAGATTTTAATAATTTAATAATACCTTGTAACCTTTAATACACAACACTGTGTAGCTCTGTCTTTGTAATTAAACTTTCCTTTACATAGGTGTCTTGGATGCAAACCTTGTTTGTAACTGAATGATTTCAGTGAAATACTGTAGGAAGAGAATCAGGTTTCTATTCTTTGCTGCTCACACGCTTAACAAGAAGCTGTACCCTAAAGGCCAAAATGCACTTTGCATGTATTTAAAGCATGACACATGTTTCTTTTAGTGAAAAGCACTGCTGGGAAGGCGATAATTTTCAGTGGAGAAGAGGAGTAGAGAAAGTGATTAAGAATTACCTTTCACTTTTTTACACTACAACTTCACTGCCGCCACCACATCCACACACACAGCTTCTCTTCCCCCAACAGGGTATCAGATTTGTGCAATGATAAAAACATGTCTAAACTGCAAGAGGTTCAGATAGGTGCACAGAACCACAGGTGGAATGCTCTCGGCTACCTTAGAAGACCATGCACTTTTTTCAGGCTCTGCCTCATTTCTCTGAACCGCTGATGGTTTTGATGGTTTATGGCTTTTGTGTTATTTTCTCTCATTCTAGAAGACTGGAATTTGAATTGAAATGCATGCTTTTGTGTTGAACTGTGGGCCAGGCCGTCTCCCAACCCACTGCTTTGCACTCATGATCTTGAGATTACTTGCCTTGGTTTGCCTTTTCTGTGCAATGGGCTTTTGATGCAGCGGAACAGAGTGGGGATAAAAATGTGCTTTTGGTGTATGGACTAGACCCTGAGCCCAGCCCTCTGTTTTGCACTCATATTTAGAAACTACTTGCCTCTTAAAGACATTGGCTGCTAAATCAGACACAAAAAATGTTCATCAACTGCACATTCTCATACTGGAGGAAAGTAACTAGTGTGGTGCCACAGCATTCAGTCCTAGGCCCAGTACTCTTCAACTTCTTTATTAATGATTTTGTTGAGGAAGTACATAATGCAAAACTGGGTGGAATAGTAAACACCCTGGAAGACAGAATGAAGACCTGGGTGATCTTGATAAACTTGAACGCTGGGCTGAAAGCATTAGAGTAAGATTCTATAGGGACAAATGTCAGGTCTTCCACCTAGGCAAAAGAGATGAATTGCATCAATACAAGATGGGCAATACATGGCTCAGCAGAACTGAAAAAGAAAAAGACCTTGGAGTTACTGTGGACGACAGGCTAAATAGGAGCTAACAGTGTGATACAGATACAAAAAGAGCAAATGCTATTTTAGGATGCGTTAATAGAAGTATTAATTCCAAATCACAAGAAGTAGTAGTTCCTCTATATGCCTCACTAATCAGACCTCACGTGGAATATTGTGTCCAGTTCAGGACACCAAAATTTAAGAAAGATGCAGAAAAATTAGAAGGGGTCCAGAGGAGGGCAACAAAAATGATCCAGGGTTTGGAAACATTATGAGGACCGACTGAGAGAACTGAGCATGTTCAGCCTTGAGAAGACAAGACTGAGGAGGGACATGATACCACTCTATAAGTACCTCAAAGGCTGTCAAAAAGAGGAAGGTCAAGATCTCTTTTCAATGATGCGAGAGTATAGGACACAGAATAATTAACTCAAGTTGCAACAACCCAGATTCAGGCTAGATACCTGGAAACATTTCCTCAAAGTCAGAGCAGTGGAACCAGTTGCCTAGAAAGATCATGAGCTCCCACACTAGAGATATTAAGAAGAAACTAGACAGTCATCTGAGTGGGATGGTGTAAACTGGTGTCCTGTAACAGCAGGGTGTTGGACCTGATGGCATTCCTTGATCATTCCAACCCTACTATTCTATGATTCATTCTGCCTGATGTGAGGCCTATCAGCTACACATGACTTGGCATGCAGCGAGTTGTCTTCGCCTTTGTCCACCCATCCTGAATAGGCACCAGCCACCACTGAGTAAAACTATTAGATCCTGAGTGGTGTCATGGCAGATCTTATGCACCCAAAGGCTCAGCTTTGTCTAAATCAGTTCATAGTGAAAAGCCAAATTACTGCACAGTCAGGAAGAATGCTACAATGAATTATTCTATAGTCCGCAATGTCATGGTGGGTATCCTCCACCTATAGAAAGAAAAGATCCTATATCAAGGCCTCTGGATCCTTTTGACTAATAGTTGGGTGGTGCCCTCACTGATTTTTTTGTTGTATGTGGAATATGAGAGGGCAAATACACCTTTCTGGTTTATTACACAATAGATTTTGATGATGAATTGAAATAAAGCCTATTCTGTTGAAGAGGGAGTAGGGTATTGCAAAGAAATATGAAAACATTGTTACAATTGTGTAAGAAGGAACACTACATTCAGTACTTCAACTCTAGCTGACCCAGAATCAAATAAGATTCAGTTAAGAAATAATACTGAAACTATTTATGGGAATAAAATTAGTTTCTCTTGTTGTTTATGAATAATAGATTCGACTTTCAGAATAAGGAATGCAATTGGAAAATAAATGCAGATTACAGAATATAAGATTTCTTTTCTAATAGCTGAATAATCTAAACCAAATCTTGAATATGTTCTTTTTTAGGTTATGGATTATGTCCTGCCACCCTTGGTTTCTTTGGTCTTCAGTCAGAATGGTAAATATATTGCCACATCAACTAAAATACCCATTTTTCTTGAATTAGACATCAATAAAGTAACATTCTTAGCATATTGACTTTTCTAGTTGAGTGGAGGCTCTTCAGCTTGCGGTTGCTCTCAGAAACCACATCACTGCTTGTGAGCCATGAGGTCATGACTGAAGAGAGAGAAAAACTAAACACAAGCAGCAAACTCCTATGTCTCTTTAGGGACTCATTGTTGCCTCAGTAAGTAGCAAACAGCTTTTGTACTCAAAACTAATTCTACAACCAATCTGTTTTGTCTAAAATTGAGGTGGATTTATATGGCATGAGTAAGATGGGCATAATTATGAGCAGTGTCACATTTTTCTCTGCTCCATGTCTTAGAGCAAGGGTTTTATATGATTCTTCACCATATGTATCATAGAAGCTACACAGCTCAAGGATACCCAAGACTGCACCACAGTTTTATAGTCTGCCTTGCTTCTTCTGAAGAGAAACAAGGTGTCCCATAAATCCTTGCATGCAATTTTTATTGGAATTCTTTCACCTTTCCAGCAGTACATGTGAGCTACTCCTGATCACTCCACTCTCTTTCAGACTGTAAAGAGTTGTACAGCAGTTTGCTTAATACTTTTAGTTTTTCAAATGAATGAAGCATGAAAGAAAATCAGAGAGAAATAGACAAGTCATGAAATCCAGCATGGGTGACAACTTGAAAAAAAAATGACTATTTTGCACATAATAGCCATGTTTAAACACAAATGTAGTGATTTGTGTTCAACAAATTGTGATTTGTTGAACAAACCAAGATACAACTTGCAGGTGAGAAATGAGTCCCATCCCAGTAACTTATGGAGTAGACTTTTGGAGAGTGGTGAAGTTGGAGGAAAGAAGATCAGAGGACCAGGAGTGTGTCCTGGATCTGGGAAGGGACAGGAAACCAATGTAGGGATTTAAGGATGGTTGCCATACAATATTAGCATCTTTTCCAATGGGAGACTATGATAAAAATACTTAATTTGCATTCACTTTTTCCTCCCTTTGTCTCAGATTTGAGCATATTCTAATGGCACCTGACCCCGTACCTGTTTATGCACTAAAGCTGCTAGTCACACTTACAGAATACAGCCCTGCTTTTATAAGGTAATACAACAACACATTCACTGCTTGGCTAATCCAGAGTTTGAAGAGCTACTTATATCGATACTAGAAGTTTGTCTAGTCCAGTGGATTTTAAAGATTTTTTTTCCTCTTTGGATCATGCCACCCACAGTCCCTATCACAAACTATTTTGTTTCAGAAGCAGTTTGTTCTGCAACTAACGTGCTGCTATTTGAAAAAGTGCATGTAAAGTTGTCTGAGTTCATATACTTAGTACTGTAAATCTGGGAGTTCACATCATCAAATTTCTCCACTCAGTAATAGTTCAATTTTGAGCACATTTACTAATGGGAACGTAATATTTAATTTTGAATGCAAGATTTAATTCTGAATAAATATAGGATTGCACTGTTGGTTACTTCAGTGACATCTTCTGATAGGATAACCAAACTGTTACTGTGAAGTAGAATTCTAGATTTGGAAAGAGAAAGGTGTTTTCTTAAAATTACTACATTCTCTTTTCCTTGAGGTGTAATTTATTTTCTGCATTTATTTAAAGATTACATTTTAGTAATAGTAGTTAAATATTCAGAAAAGTAGCCATATTCATGTCCATTGCAGCAAAAATAGCAGGATCTTGTGGCACCTTCAAGACCAGTAGGTTTATTATGACAGCTCTTCTGAACTTGGTACCCTCCAGGGACTATAATTCCCATCATCCCTTGCCATTTGGCCATGTTGTCTCTGGTTGTAGTCCAGACTATTTGAAGGGAACTGGATGGAGAAGGTTGCTTTATGGTATAAACCTTGATAGATGAAAGTACATTTCCTCACATAACATGATGAATTAGACACATCCATAAACATGTATCCCGTAACTCTTTTAGTTCTTACGGTATTACAAGATGTTTTGTTGTTTTTATAGGTAAACATGCATTCTATTTCTGAATTCATCCCTATCATATGAAGGCAATGTCCCAGTCTAAATATGTCTGAATCATCATTGGCCATGGTGCTATGCCTTGGGCAAGGGGTCTCTACTATCAACCACCAATTGATTGGACACCTCATACAGGAATCTGCCTTCATATGTATGCAGGCAAATGGATAGAGCTTGCAGACATGCCCGTATGAACATGTGTGTTTGTGTGTGCACATACGCACACTATTGGTTTCTCTACTGGGCCATCATGTGATGGCCATCAGTTCATTCCTTTGTGCTGATTGTTGTCGTTTTGAAATGATGGTTTTAATAATTCAGATACTGCATATTTATTACTATCAGCATGTTAGAACCATTTCTTGCGCAGTTATACTGTCTCCTAAAAATTGGCTGGTAGATACAGCTATTAGTGTATGTAGAACAGGTTTGTCAAGCCAATCAAGTGAATCTCTTTTGGAGTGTAAAAAATAAAGTTAATGGTTGGTGGCAGAATAGCAAAATTATTTGTGTTAGAGAACAAGGAGAGGATGAAATTACCAGAGAAGAGGTATATAGTAAAAAAACAAGTTGTGGGCTCAATTCTGTTTTCATAATGTAGTTTAAAATACAGTCAGTGCACTAAAGTAAATCAGGATGTGAACAGCCTTCAGCGTGGAACAATTCAATCTAGGAACTGCCTGTTTGAATCATACCTAAGTTCATCTAGTCTATCATTCTGTCAAACAGTGGCCATATGGATACCATTAAGAATCACCCAAAGAGACCATGCTCTGGATAGCATGTGCTTGTTGTTGGCCTCCAGCAAATAACAATAAGAGGCAATGTCTTATTATTTATGTGTGGGGATTTTTTTAAAAGAACAGTCTTAAAAGGGGGAATTCTTTGAGAAATGAACACTAAGCAACAGCATTTTATAGTTTTAGAAAGAGTGGGGAAATACAAAGTAATTTGCCTGATGCCATAATTATGACGTAGATGATGCTAGGTAGAAACATTCCACAATCAGAATGCCACCTCCAAATGTCTCTTTCCCCTATTGCCTCTGATTGCAATTGAAAATTCTAATTAGCTGTTACAAGTTCATCCAGTTTTTTCCCTACATCCATCTCAACTGGTGCCCCTTTCCTCATATTCTGGTAATGATTTCCCGAGAAAGTAACTATGCATTTCATGAAACAGTACCTTTATTTTTGTTTCCACTGAACTTAACTGTCATTCAGTTTCACTGATGACAGCGTTCTAGTATTTTATGCATGCTGCTTCTCCAGTGTTACAGCACAGAGTGCCCTGGATATAGTAATTAAAAGAGGAGAAAGCAGCAAACAGACAGTTTCTAACAGGATATTTAAACCCTGATGCTACTAGAGATATGATGCCCAGCTGAGGTAACTTTGACTCTCCGTTTTCCAGCTAAGACCTGCAGGATCCCTGTCAGGAAACAGGACAATCTCCAGGAAGGGAAGTAAGTTGGAACTTACCAAGTACCAGCTAATCTCCCTCTCCTGTAGTTGTTTTTGCTAGACTGGAGCCCTACGTTCTCAGCCTGTAGCTTGCAAAAGAGCTGCCTCTCCTGGACTGATGGAATGTGAACCTTCTTTGTTTCCTCTGGTGGGGGGGGGGTCTTCCCTTTGGGGAAAATGTTTTGGGGGAGCCACTTTGGAATGAACATAAGGTTCCCCAGACTCCCTGAACATTTGAGTACTAGTCTGGAGTGCCTGCATCTTGTGCTGGACCAGCAAGGCAAATTAGAAAATCTGTTGGTGTACCATCCACTCTGCTTCTTAACAGATTCCCTATCTCTGCTGACAGAAATCATCTCAGTTGTGATGCTGAGGTTCCCAAGGCTATGAGATCTGGTGGATGTTAAAATCCATGCCGAGTGCACCCTATCCAAGACAATTCAGGTTTTCATGGACTCCATGGTCCCAGAGGTTAATGGATCTGAATGGGAGTTCCCTTGGGAGTTTTCCAGCTGTTACAGCTGACAATTCTATTGAATCCTTGGTGGTTCTGTGAAACTCAGAGATAATCCAGGCAATTAACACAATCACTTCTGAGCACACTCTCTGTAGTAGAGCTGTACATCCTGGAGATAAGAGCAATGAAACAAAACTCAGATGGCTTGAGTGCAGATGAAGAAAAACTAGTGAATGCAGTCAAGTGCTGGTATGTGCCTGCAGGTTGTTATGTTTAAGTATAGTAATGGCAGCAAAAACATTCAGTTCCCTCTATTCAGGTTTCTTTTTGTTGCCCTGTGGAACATTTTAGGTTTTCTGGGACCTATTATACGCTGTTTCCAGGGATATTCTAAATTTATCTGAGACCCCCGGAAATATATTTGCTAGATACTTCCAGGGAAAAAAACCTCTTCCATCTGTCAGGACATAGACACTAGTGGTACAGCAATTCAGTCAAGCAAGGTACCCAGAGCACAGTATGGACAGTTTCATTTGGTACAGCCCCAGGATATTGACAAGGTGCTTAGACAGATTTGTAAAACCATTTCAATACTGGATCCTTGCCCTTCTTTGCTTATAAAAAGCTATTAGGGAGGGAATAGGTGGGTTCCCTCCTTAATCACCAGGGATGTGGTTAATGTCTCATTGTGGGAGAAAGTGGTCTCCGCATGAAAGAAGCGGTGGTGAGACCATTCCTGAAACAAACCCTTTGTGGCCCAGAAGAGCTTAATAACTTTAGGCTGGTGGGGAAAGCTTTCTTCCTGGACAAGCTTCTTGAGTGGATCCTGGTGGCTGACAAGCTGCTAGTGCTCATAGACGCAACTGATCACCTGCATCCATTTAATTTGGTATTCAGGCTGGGTTTTGGCATGGAAACAGCTTTGGTTGATCACCCTGTATGATGCTCTATACTGGGAGAAAGCTGGGGGGATCATGACCTTGGTACTCCTTGAACTCTCATGGTATCCTTCTGGGTTACAATCTGAGGTGGGAGTGTGTGTGGAGGTACCGCACTGTAGACATTCCACCCCTGCTTGGATTACCAGCTCAAGAAGGTAATGCTGGGAGAATAATGCTTGGCTGTGGGCCATGTTTGTAGAGTTATGTGGTTTCTGTAGACTTACAGATTGGCTTTCCACTTTTGTTTGGTGGAGGTTACACAAATGCACAAAGCTGTATTAACACTAGAATGAAACTCTACTAAGAAAACTTATTCAGTCCTGTCAATGAGTGGATGGCAGAAGAAAAGATGTCTGACAATCCATGAAACATAGAATGGTTTTAACAAAATCTATACATCCCTGTCGATCTTGCATGTTTAAACCAGCTTTGTAATAGTTTTTGTAGCTCTGTGTTGCCATAAAATTGCCTTTATCTGAAACTTGCTGGTTAATTATTTTTCAGATATACAAGATGTGGTTCTAGTGTATTTAAATATATTACTATAGTGAATGAAGCATAATTTGAAATGCCACTACAGAGTATTCTTTAATTTTAATATGTCCATTTTCTATTAGTTCAAATTCTCTTGTTAATATCTGCATTTAAAAATAGTAATTTTCTTATTGTTCCACTTGTTTCACATCAGTAAGGTAGAACAAGGAATAATTCCCAAACCAGTACCGTATTGTATATTAATGGTTGTAGTAGAACTTTCTTGTGTGAAGGAATAGGCAAGCACTGAGGTTCTGGGTCAGAGATGTTAGCAACAAAGACTTTGTCACACTGTTTCATGTTCAATGGCTTAATTAGGGTTGGTTTTTTTTCCACAGCCTTGTTCAAGAAATTCATCTCATTCCAACAATTTTTCAAGTAATTCTGGTAAGAATATATTTTATTAAATTGCTTTTAAAGTAACCTTAAAGCACTCTTAATTATGTTATTCTCACTTGTATGCTGCATTGGCAGATAGGTTAATTTCTCAAAAAACTGGGTTATGTTATATACTAGAAAATTCTAGCAGAGTCTTGATGTATCAGTTATGGATCAGTTTAGTGTATAGTATTGCGATGTATCAATGTTTTGATTGCATTTTGTCACTTTCAGTTTTAATAAAAACTTGAAAGCCTGTCAGTCAGTATTACGCACTAGAAATTTATAAAGAGCTTCCAGTGCCCCAGACCCAGAGGTATGAAGTCTGACACATTGGGAGGAAGAGTACTCTATTTATTCAAGCATATTTATATCCCAAATTTCTATTGTAAAAACAGTCTTCAAGGCTGCTTATAGAATATTAATGAATAACCAAATTAATGAATAACCAAAACTATTATGTACAAATTACACATACAAGGAAAGTCACGGCTGGTATTATTTGATACACATTAATTTAAAATTTGTTTATGTACAGAGGCAAAGGATAAATTCTAACATGAGCCCTACTTGGCATGGACCCAATGAAATGAATAGGACTGGTTAGGCTGTTTCCACTATTTTATGTATTTTATGCATTTATATGCTGTTTTTATTTATGACTGGAAGCCGCCCCGAGGCTTATGCAATGGGGGTGGCATATAAGTTGTTTAAATAAATAAATAAATTCCTATTTGTTTCAATGGATGTTCTCCAAGAAGGACTTATCCACTGACGTTGCTGAAGTAGTTCCAACTATGAGAAACTTGGGTTATTTGGAGAAGTATCTGAAACATATTAAAAGACTGTGAAGGTGTTCTTCTGAAACTCAAGTGTTTTTTCCCATGCTTTCTAGAAATTGCTTTGAATAGTATCTAACCCTGGTTAACCCTGCTGACCTTTTGAGCAAGAAATGGGGTGTGGGGGGGGTGTAGATAAGAAGATGAGAGAGAGACATAGAATGTTTCACAAATGTAGAAGTTTAGAGTCTGGCTAACAGTAGTTCAGATTAAATTCTGAATGTTACACAATGGCACAAAAGGAAGTGTTTATATGAAGCAGTGCTGCTTCTCTTTAGATCTAACAATCCTTCTCCCATGGCACAGCAAAAGCTTGGAGTAGTTTGAAAGTCACTTATAATGGAGGAGGAAAAACAAATTGTTTCTACTTGTAATCATCTGTGTAACATGTGTCTTTCTTTGAATTAATGGATGTTCTTTAGAAAAGATTTGATTACAAGGGTTGAGTTGTATGATAGAGTCATATTCTAATTTTTAAAAAATATATATTATCTTCTTTGTGATAGCAGAAAACTTGTAGATTTTTTTTAACCTATGTACTTGGGAAATAATGATAGCATTTCCTTTTGTATTAGTGTCTTATGACAGCAATAAAAATGCATTGCTTACTCTAAAGAATATCTTATCTTTTGCATTAAACATCTTGTACCTTTATTAATATGTTTTTAATTGTGGCACAAATATGTTCAATAGAAATATAAGTAATTGGCACAATGCAGAGAAAATCGGTGTGCTTCAATTACCATGGAAACATAATGGCACATAATAAGACCACTTGATTTCAGGGGTTCTTACAGTCCAAATTTGCTGGAATGACCCAGTCACCTCAATGTATTTAGCTGGACAGTGATTCCTTTCCTGTTCCTGTACGACATAATGGGATGGTTTCAAGACAAAGGTTTGGTTTCAGAAATGCACTTTTCTAATTTTCTACTCACAGAACACTATACAAACACAAGTGCAAAACATATGTTGCTTGCACATGAAGTGGTGCATATCCTTGCACAAGAATGGGAATTTTTATCAAATCTACCAATTACAAAGCTGTGGAACTATACTGTTTGCATTCTGCTCATGGATCTTTTGATCCAACATTCAGTGTTTGCTTTTTGCTTGTTAGAGTGCATGGTGGGTCAGTTTTTAATGGCTTGAAGGTTCCTGATACTTCTAAGCCATAACTCAGAAAGGAGGAGATTGCTAGTAGCCTCAAGCAAATAAACTGCTGCTGGTAATAAAGTAGAAATTAATTGTTTATGCTTAAAATATCACTAATAGGCTGAATAATAAATGAAAAATGCTGTGGGAGTCTTTAATGTTATGGATTTACTTAATATTCTACAGAGCTGTTAAGTATGAATGAATGTGTGTGTGTCTGCATATGCATTCACACCATACTTTTTTGAGGGTAATTAAAAAAAATCTTAATACCTTACTTCCCATATTAAAAATGGATTTATGCATATCCATTTGTTTCCCAAGATCTTTTATTTTATAATTTCAAATAAGAAGTTGGCTTTTCTAATATTTAGACAGAAAACTGAGGTAGATCTTTTATGTCTGATTATTTCTAAATAAAAGCCCAAGCATAGTATAATTAAAAGATACTATATGTACACATACTAGATTCTTAATAAAGTTCATGTTATAGACTTCTTGAATACTTGTGGATTTTATTGTGCTTTTCCTATGATAAGAAATCAGTTAGAAGCCAATATTCAATAATTTCAGGTCTAATCATTTATATATTTATTTATTCAGCTTAGATTCCACTATAACTAATGCAAAGACACTCTCTTTATATGTTCATATACATTTTGAAATGGAATAATGCTTCTAAACCCCCTCTCCCAGCACTATGATTGAAAACCAGTTAGTTACTCCCAGTTGCTTTTATGGGGAAAAGCCCAACAAGACAGGAGAAAATGAAACTCTACTGCTTTGCCTGGATTGGTACTAAGATATTCTAAAATTTCGTGACATTTGATTTTTCTAGAGTTCAATGTTCATAATGAAACTAAGTAGTAAGTGTGCAGTATTCTTCATCACTGAAAATACTGCTCACCCTATTGTATATCTCGCATATAGAAAATTAATGTAAGCTTACTCATTCATGGTGGTAAAATGGTTAAACCTAAAATTGTGCACTTTGGATTAAAATTATGAAACTTGGTACTTACTTATTTCTGGGGAGGGGACAAGAGACTGACAGATACAGTATTCTGCATTTTAGCCCATAATTTATTGTATGTGACAGATAATGCTGAATTCGATTTTTTTTACCATTCAAATGGAAAATAAGTGGTAGAACTGCAGCAATCACATTTTAATAAATCTTACTTAAAGCTAGCCTTGCTATGAAACAACTTTTAGTGATTTCTTAAAGTCTACTACTACCATGTCAATAATAGCTAAAATATGCATAAAAGAATGATGACCCCAAATGAACGAACCTAACCCCAAACTAAGCTTTACCCAAACCCAAATCATATATCATAATATTTAAAAAATAGCTTATATGAGATGCTGCAACACTGGTGTGCCCAGTGTCCCCATGTCAATACTCATAGTGTGCAAAAATGTATTTAAAACGAGAGGTGTAACACTCTGCAGTAAGCTTTGGATCACCCAAATCTCTAGGAGAATGTCATCTGTAAACTGGCGTACTATCACTTCTAGCACAGTGTTTTGGTTCAGTACCAAACATTGTCAAATATACTGTCGCCCATCTCAGCACATAAATTACAGTAAAAACACAGATAATAGTAAAAACATCATAAAATTACACAACAAAATTTGAGAGTAACCCTGGAAGGAGTGGGCAGTGCAAGATAAAAAAGATTTAAGAAATACAAACTTAAAGCACAGTAACATATGAATGGCAGGTCTTGATGTTTAGGCATAGGCAGAAATCCAGAGTTACCATTATTTTGTGTGTATGGGCTCTCTCTAGGTGCTTGGGTTTCTTCAGAGCATCTCTGCATCAACTCCTACTGCTGAACCTTGTGTAAAACTCTGTAAGGAATAACAGAGAGATTTGTAAATTGATTGGGCTGTCAGTTCTACAGTCAGAGCAGCTACAGAAAAATCAACGCGAAGCATCATTTGTGCAATACGAATATAGACACATAAACCTGGTAATCAGGACAGATCCTGACAGATAAAAAACAATGCCATATCCATAAACTTAATGATTTTTGGATAACTAATATGAACAACAGCATGGTTCACTTTAATGAGATATTAACCAGAATAATCTGTTTGAACCAGGCTCTCATTTACAGAATTTAATGGCTTAGAATATGGCAAATACAGATAAAATGGATTTTGAAAAGTATAGTATCATTCATTTGGACAATTATTGCTAATAGAATAACTGTTTCAACAAGAATTCATGGGTAACAGTTCTAAGATTATCAATTTGCATGGTTAATTCATGGGACCTTGCATCCACATCAGATCTCATGCTAAATTTATTGTCTTCCTGCTGTTAAGTGAAATTAATATGTATGAGTTGTTAAATACTGGAAGAAATGAGAGTAAAATACCATGTTAATGTCAGTTTTCAGGGGGGAATTTTTTTGCAGATATGCTTTTCCTCTACTTTATTAGCTTCCTTGGACTTCAGATACTGTAACCATGAGAGGATCTCATGTAATCCTTATTTATGTCAAAGTATCTTTAAAACAGAGTGGCATTTTTATCTCTTTGGAAATCAGCGTGAAACAAATTATTTTAACATTAATAAGATATTTTGGAAATTTCTGCCCATGCTCAAAACAAAGGTAATTCTATAGTATTCTGCCTTTCAGAATGTATCTGAATTAATATTACATTGGATCTTTACTGTGTGAGAGAACTCGGGTTATTTCTGTCTTTGTTTCTGAAGCTAAGTTACTCAGAAGATTCAACTATCTGAGGCCCAAAAATGAGACACAACTTTGGCAATAACCAGATGCTTGTGGTAAAATACAAGACACAATATGCAATAAAACAATTACAGTAAGTGGAAAATTATTTCATTAAATTCATTTCCCAAGCTTCTGAGAATTTCCATAGCAGTAGCTGCCTATAATCTGAACTCAGATCAAGATGCTGGCTTTCATCTGCATTATTTTATTTGGTTTGGGACAGCAATGTATGCTGGAATCCCATTCCCAATATGAATGTACT